AGAATTTATTAGGTTGTTTGGTAGAGGAGAGAGAACCAGAAGAGAGATGTGGTTCCCTCTCCCCAAGTTCTGGAAAATTTAAATTATATAGGATTTTGACAAAGGTCACACACAAATCACATGTACTTCAAGCAATTTCACAGAGAGGGCAACTTGAAAGCAAGGTAGATTGAGATGAGTATGAGTAAATGTAACTATTCAGTAAAAATTGGGTGAGGTCAAAATGCAAGGGGACCTAAAGCAGAAGCATGGGTGGACCCAAAATAATAATGCTTTCAGTGGATCTAGGACCTGGGGGATCCCAAAATATTTTGTAGCCATCTTTACATTCCTAAAGAGTTACTGGGGTCAGGTGACATTCTGGGTGCAGATCACATAAAGCTGGATTTAAACAGTGTAATAATTTTCCCAAACAATATAACAAATAATTTTTCCCACAAAGGTCACATAATACTGGATTTGAACCTGGGTCCTCTGGTTCCCAATCCAGTGCTTATTCCACTCCACCAAAACACCTTATTTTCTCCATCTCTTTTAACAGGTGTACTGAAGCCCTACACTTACCTTCTGTAGTCCTGAGGCTGTTCACTGGAAGAGGGATGGGAATCTTCTACTTAAAAGACCTGGAAAGAGATGAACTGGTAAAGAAAAGAATTTGGAAAAGAAAACATTCAGAAACCCACATGCCTTAAAATTAAGACATCTTTGCCCTATTGCTTTTTATGTCAAACCAGGGTTGTAATATAATCCCACCACAATGTTACTGTGACTGAGGGGACAAATCTCCAACTAGTAGGGATCAGCCAACCTCTTACAAAATAAAGGACCATCTCAACTGGTTTTCAATGAAATGTCGTGTTTTCCATTCAATGGTAAATACACGTCATTAACACTATTTCTATCAGGGGTGGCCAATATTCTCAAGTTAATGGTATGGTTTCTTGAGTAGCTGGAAGAGCCCCTCCTTTCCCTGTCTGCTTAAATGATCCCTGAAATTCCTTCAATATACATATAGACTAGAGCCTTTAACTAGACAGTTAGAGATGAAACTTTAAATGCAAATGGTCCTGGGAAAGGCAAAAAATTTACTTCAATTCCCATTAAAGTAAAAATGGCTAATATCTCATGCAGAAGAGCCATCACACCAGTCTAGGACCTCACCACTCCTTGCTTTGACTTTTACAATAACCTACTAACTGGTCTCCTAGGTTCCAGTCTCTCCCCTTCCAGTGCACCTACCACACAGTTATCAAAATAATATTTCTAATATACGGGTCTTAGTTCTACAAAAAAATCTCCCCTGCCTCCCTGTTCCTTAAAAGTAAACTATACTCTCCTTTGCCTGGTGTTTCAAGCCCTCTACAGTCTTGACTCCAATCTCCTGTTGACTCCAAGCCTTTTCTCATGGTACTCCCCTACAACTCTGTGTTATAGCCAAACTAGGCACTTGATCATACCCCAATTTTGTCATGTACTCTACCTCTCTGTGCATTCTTACTGGACATCACACTGTCCTTTCTCATGTCTGGAATATATTCTCTCCTCATGTCTGTTTGTCAACATCCTTTGGGTCATCAAGGCCCAACTCAGGTGGCATCTCCTTCATGTCATCTCCTGGCTGACAGTAAGCCTTAGACTTTCTGAGGGCATTTGCCTGGATCTCTCCTTTACTTCTCTGTCATTCTAGGCTTATGGAACTACAGCATCACAGAATTCACAGATAGAAAGGACCTCTTTTAGCCTGAGCCCTCCTCAAATGTAGGTCCCCAAAGCTACACTTAGAGTCAAAGGCACACATTGGGTCAGCATCCATTCTTATGAATTCTAGATGCTGCTTCTTTTTTTAAAGACCTAATAAGAAAGCATATTGATCCAAGCAAAAGTCATTAAATTAAAATAGAACAGCAGGGTAAATGACAAGGAATCCTCCTTCCCCAGTACACATGGTAACAAACTTTCCCGTGAATTTTCTTGTTTGAGAAGGAACACTTTTAGTGAATGCACATGGCCTTGGGACACTTGTGGGAAATACATATCTTGCTGCACCCACAAAGCTTCTGGTATCATGTCCTGAACTGTCTTTCCCACTGTGCTGCCATTCTTCCATTTCTTCCCTTATTTGCAGCTGTGCTTAAGTCTTCTTCCCACACAGCAATAGCCAGCTATCTTGTGAGAAAGCCCACAGCCCAAATCTGTTTCACCACTTATGAGTTATCTTCAACCAGCCAAACAGCCCTTAGGTGGGCAAGTCTTCCTTTTCAATTTTTTTTTATGTTTTCCTTAATGATTTCTCATTTAAGCTTCCTAGCTATTTGAGGAAAGTTGACAAAATTCCTTTCAACTCTCATCATGCCTGTGGCAACTAGCCTTGGACATGTAGATCACTTAAGAGCAGTTCTTAATCGTTTCTGGGTATGTAATGGTCTTCTTTGGCAGTCTAGTGAAACCTAGGGAACCCTTTTCAGAATAATGTTTTAAGTGCATAAAATAAAATACACAGGATTACCAAGGAAACCAATTATATTTAAATAAAGATGTAATTTTTCCCATGCAAGTTCACCTGAAAAGACCTCCTGAAATCTATCCACTGACCCCTGTCCTTATACCCCAGGTTAATAACCCCTGTTTTAGAGTCTCACTCTGTCAATACTAGAGGAGTGAGCTGAAACTGAAGACCTTTGTCCAGTATTCCAGACAACTCTGGGGTCAGTAAGCCAGCCTTCCTAACTGGAAATCTCTCCTTCCTCCTTCCTTCAGGTCTCTAAAATCTGGCCTTCTACAAGAAGCCTTTCCCAATCCCCTTTAATTTTAATGCCTTCCTTCTGAGATTACCCCCAATATATCCTGTATGTATCTTGTTTGTGCATAATTCTTTGCATATTTTTGGACTGTGAGCTCCTTGAGGGTAGGGGCTGTTCCTGCCTTTCTTTGTATCCCTAGCACTTAGTACAGTGTCTGGCACATAAGAGGCATTGAATAAATGCTAGTTGATTGACTGACTGATTTATTGACCCAGTCTAATGTTTTGTCTATCTGGGAGAAATTTGTTTTAAAAGAATAAAACCAAAAGAGACTGTTGGTTGAACAACCAGAAAGGGTATTTTAATTAAAATCTGCAGTGAAAAGAAACTGAGCCACAGAATTCCAACCATGGACTTTGAGGCAGTTTGGCCTAGTGAAGAGAGTATTGTATTTAGAGTCAGTGGACCTGAGTTCGAACACTAATTCTAAAACTATGTGACGAAGTCATTTGACCTCTCTAGGTTTCTGTTTTTCCTCACCTACAAATTGAGGGGATTGGGCTAGATGAAAGCTAAGATCCCTCCAACTCTAAATCCTATGATTATGATGCCTGAAAACTCAGCTTTGTTCAATAGTATCTGCACTGTGGTTCTTTTGCCTTTTTCTTCAGGGTTATTAGGTGTAGTGCTACTTTAATTCTGGAGCTATATAAGTGTATATAAGAATGGATGTATGATGATATTAAAACACATAGATTCTAATATAATTTTATACTAAATGTTTGTCCTAATATAGAAGAGATTGAAATGTTTTTACTATGTTCTTATTTAAAAAGACTGAGTTACAACAAAAGCTCTCTTATCAACTAGAAATCAGTCTTTTTTACTCTTTTAATTCAATCCAATAAGCATTTATTAAGTGCCTGCTATGTGCCAGACACTACTAATAAGCACATTCTTCTTTTAACATAAGCATATTCCATATAATAACCCAGAGGGACCAACTGAGATGAAACAGACTAAACTGTAACTCTGGGAAAAGAGAAGGCTGAAAGAAAGGATAGCACTGGTATTCAAGGTGGATGGAATGATGATAACTGATGGTAAAAAGAAGACAAATCTACTTAACTTCTATTTGGCTGGTTTTCTCTGCTAAGGAGAATGAACTTTGCACTAAAACAGATACAGCAAAGATGGGACCTGTTTCCCAAAATAAGCAGGGAGATTGATGATGATGATGATGATGTACCTCATTGCCCTTGGTGATCTAGAGTCATGTCAGACTGAACTTACGTTCCCTTTTGTTACCAGCCTGGTAGATTAGGATAATGCTGTAATACAGTTTCCCTTTGTTGTTGTTCAGTCGTTGTCAGTCATGTCTGATTCTTTGACCCCATTTGGGGTTTTCTTGGCACAGATACTGGAGTGGTTTGTCATTTCCTTCTCCAGCTCATTTTACAGATGAGGAAAATGAAACAAACAGGGTTAAGTGACTTGCCCAGGGTCACACAGCTTATAAGTTTCTGAAGCTAGAATTGAAATCAGGTTTTCCTGACTTCTGGCCCATCATTTAACTTAGACCCAGCCCTCAGAGGGGCAGCTAAGTGGCTCAGTGGATAGAGGGCTGAGCCTAAAGTCAGAAAAAACTCATCTTCGTGAGTTTAAATCTGGCCTCAGACACTTAGTAGATGCATGACCCTGGGTGAGTCACTTAACTCTGCTTGCTTCAGTTTCTTCATCTACATTATGACCTGGAGAAGGAAATGGGAAACCATATCCAGTGTCAAGAAAGCCGCAGGTGGGGTCAGGGAGAGTTGGGCATGAGTGAACAGCAGAAACCTTTCAGAGGGAGAAAATGAAGCCCAGAGTCTAGAGATTTGTCCAGTGAATTCCATTCTCTCGATCCTGGCTTGATACCCTTTCCATATCTCGTTCATCCCGCAGAGTCCATGGACCACATTTTGAGGTCCTCTGATTTCACCCATCACCTCTTTAAGTTTTCTCATCTATAAAATGGGAAGGTTTGACGACATAATCTCTAATGTGTCTTCCTACTTTAAAACCCTTTGTCGCTATAATCTCATGCATTCCCAGTACTCTACCATGCCTCCTGATGGAGACCAATTCATTGTTTCTTTTACAGGGATATGTGTCCTATGAAGAATAGCGGAACAACCCGAAAGTGACCATCACTGAACAGGAAAAAAGGCAACTCCTCCTCAATCATTTCTCCTCAGAAGAATCCAGACCTTTTGAGCCATGTACAAGACAGAGAGTAAGCAGAAGAGTCAACTCATTCAATGCACAAAAGACATTCATAATGCAGGCAAAGTTGGCCTCCAGCAGCTTTTTAGGCCTTATTTATAGTAAATGGGTTTGTAATTTTATTTTCTGTTCAGTTACTTAGTGGGAATAGCATGCCCACCAACATTCTGATTTCAACTCCTTATGCTTTTCAGAATGTTCTATAGGCTTGGCAAGTTATAAGGGCTTTTGATTGATTCTTTATGCCCATGTGTCTGGGTTGGGAGGATTATGGCCCTTCTGCTGTAAGTATGGGGTTGCAGAGAGTGATATTGGAAAGTTTCCATATCTAATACAAGGAAACCCATCGGAATACTCAGAATTGGAAATAGTGAATCACATACTTAATCGGAGAATAAAGACAGGTGTAGCTGTAACACTCGCCTCTTAGGTTTGCTTAAAGGCAAGGTGGCCACCTCAAGTGATTTTTTTTAAAAGCTACTTTGCTATTGTTTTAAATAAAACATTAAAGAAACATCCCCCAAACAAACACGAACGGTTCTCTGTATATGCCAAGATAATTCCTTTCTTCTGTGTGGTAAATCCTTAGGTATGAGGATCCTTTTTTATCATACATTCCCCACTTCTTTTTCCAAAATCATGACTAACCCATTGCCACCATTAGCCACCAAATCCCTTCACTCTTCTTTCTGCTCAGCTCTGATTTTAGGATCCTGTGGGGCTATTATGCCTGGAGCCAGGATGGTTGTGAGTAAACCTCATATTTGGGTAGAAGAAGAATCACTTAAAGAGTCAAAGGAAAGGCAGGAGAAAGAAAATGCCTCCAAAGCTGAAGATGCTTCTCAGGAAATTCTGTAAGTACCCAGTGTGGTCAAAGGACCTCAACCAGTTCAGCTTGGGTGTTGAGGGAGGGAGGTAATTTTGCTCATTCCATTTAGTTTGTTTTCTAAGAAGAGGTCTTTAAAACACTCTAAGTGTATTATATATTTAACGTCAGATGAAATTATGGAATTGTTCAAAATCTGACTAGTTTGGATAATGAAACTGGACATTGGCTTTTTAAAAAGTCCAATAAGATTTATCTATGTATTAGGAGTACTCCTTTTAGGAATTCATGGAATCATAGCACTGGAAAGAACTTGAGAAATTATGAAATCCAGCTCTTTCTTTCAATAGATGAGAAGATGGAGTTTCATTGAGGTGAAGTGACTGGCTTAAAGGCACATTTATTAAATGAAAGCTCTAGACCTCTAGACTAAGGTCTTTGACTCTCAAGTCCCATGTGCTTTCCTCTACACCACAGTTCATTTCTTTTTCTTTCCCTCCAGTGTTCACTTATGACAACTGTCTTGATAATTGGGGTTTTGTTTTTGGGTGTGTGTGTGTGTGTGTGTGTGTGTGTGTGTGTGTGTGCTTGGTCTTAACTCCAAAGTGGGCTTGACTATGTAGTTCTTGGACAAATAAATCTCACTGAGCTAACATAACAGGTCATTTATCATCTTAGGAACAAGGAAGTTCCATTTATATTTTGTTGGTCCCAAACTCAAAGGGGCCAGTTTTTTACCACAGCCCAAAAGGAAGTCAGACTTCCATGAGAACTTAAATGCCACATTGTGTCTGGCCAATGTTTTATGCAATCTGAAAATTTGCCTTACATCAAAGAAAGCATGTTTGTTTGTTTTTTAATTTTTGGGGGGGGCAGTTGGGGTTAAGTGACTTGCCCAGGGTCACACAGCTAGTAAGTGTCAAGTGTTTGCTCTGAGGCCGTAATTGAACTCAGGTCCTCCTGACTCTAGCATCGGTGTTCTATCCCCTGCACCGCCTAGCTGCCCCCCTGTTTGTTTGTTTTTTGAGAGAGTATGTCAGTTGCCTAATCCTCTGGTTAAAAGTGGACAGTGAACATCCCTCACTTCCCTTTCATATGCCATTTAACTTCATTTTTACTTAAAGGACATATTCCCTTTCAAATTCCGAGTTATCTTTCACTTTAAAAAGAAAAAATAATATTGAAAAGAAAGGCTCAAGGAGGTGGAGGAGCTTGGTCCTACAATCACTGTGTTTTAGATTTGGAGGAGATTATGGAGATTATGTACCTTCCACTTGGTGGAATCCCATCTACAGTGTTGCAGAAGGTGTTTATCTAGTCTCTGCTCAAACACATCCAGAGATATGGAGTTTACTGTCCCCACAAGGTGGCCAATTCCATTGTTAGACAGCTCTTATCATGCTCTAGAGCTGCTTTGAGGACAATGCCTTTAATTCTGCCTCAGGAGACCCTCCACCTGCCAGCCCTGGTCTTGCCCTTTATTGCTACACAGTATAAGTGTAGCCCTATTTTCCAAAGATGACCCTTCATAGAGTTAAAGACAGATGTGATACCTCCCCATGTCTTCTCTTTGTCACATTGAACACATAGTTACTTCAGCCTCTTCATGCATTAAAACCATAGACTTACGAGAGCCACCTAACTCCAACTCCCTCATTTTAGAGATCAGATTTTAGGTCTCCTTCCTCCTACTCTAGGGTGATTTCATACAACATTGCCTTATTTCTTCTCTGACCTATTGGTAGCATTTAGTATTGTTGAATACCTCTACCTTCTGTTCTTCCCTTCTCTTCTCTTGGATTTGAAGAACTCATTTGATTCTCCTCTTCTTGAACTCCTGTTTTCTTCACAGGCTTTGTATCCTCTTGTATCCTCTTTGTATCCTTTTAAGTGAGTGTTACCAAAGGCTCTGTCTTCGATCCTCTTTCCTTCTCCTCATGGCAATTGTATTCACTTTTAATCAAGTTGCCTCTAATAAAGTGATTCTCAGACTTATCAGTGCTTAGCCTACTGCCTGCCACACGATAAGAAATGCTTGTTGACTTACTGATATAACCATCACCATCCTTGACCTCTCTCACCAGCTCTAGACCCACATCTATAACTGCCCATAGGATAGTTTTCTCTGAAAGCGTAATTGGCCTTTCAAATGTGTATTGTCCCAAACCCAACATATTCTTTCCTTACAAAACCTTTACTTCCTTATGATTTTGCGGTTTCCTTCACTGCTCCTACCATTCACCTTGTCACCCAAGTACAAATCCTTATTGTTTTATCCTCTTTTTCCAGCTTTTGCTATCTAGTTACTAAGTCCTGTTGCTTGTATCTCTAAAAATATCTCTTGCAACTAACTGTCTTTCCTCCTTTTCCACTACTGCCATCTATCTGGACTAATTCAATAACCTGCTAATAGTACTTTAGCCTCCACTCTCTCTCCCTATTCTCCCTGCTCAGAGCTGGCCTTCACACAGCTATCAGATTTCTCATCCTTATGCATAGATACAGTCTCTAATTTCAGTTTCAATTTAGTTTTCAATAAATTTCAATTAAACCTGGAATTCAAGATCTTCCCCAGTTTGGTCAAACTTTTCAGCTTTATTTAATGTGCTTCTGCTTCCCAGACTCGATAATCATCCCAAACTGGACTAACCTCAAATCCTCCCTTCTTCTCCACTTCTCTTTTACTGCCAAGAGTACCTCCATCCTGCCAGACCCTCAGACTCACAACCTCAGTGTCATCTTTGACTCTTCACTCACGATCATCCCCAAATCCCAACTGTTCTTGAGTTTTATCATTTCTATCTTTGCAACATCTTGCATATACATCTCCTTCTCTTGAACAATACAGATACCAATTGGTGCAAACCGTATTTATCACCTTTCTCCTAGACTACTACAATCACTAGTGGTTAGTATCCCGGCCTCGAAGTCTTTTTCCATTCCATTCACCTCTACCTGCCAAAATGGTGTAACTAAAATGTGGGTCTCACCATCATTCTCCCACCGTTCCAACGCAGTAAACTCAAGTAGCTCCCTATTAATTTCATGATAAAATATAAAATCCTCTCTTGGTTTTTTGAAGCCCTTCACAACCTGGCCCTTTCCTGCTTTTCCGGTCTTTTCCTATTTTACTCTCATCTTTTCATACTTTATTCCAATTCTTCTCAAATCTAGCAACACTGGCCTTTTGGCTATTCCTCACACAGGACGCTGCATCTTCCACCTCCATTCCTTTTTAACTGGCTATCCTCCGTGCCTAGAATGCTCTCACTCCTCATTTCCATCTCTAATTTCTCTGGCTTCTTTCAAGAATCGGCTCACATCTCATTTTCTGCGGGAAGCCTTTTTGCCTCTTCAATCCCCTTCATCTCCTCCATTGTTGTTGTTCAGTCATTTTTCAGTTATGTCTAACTCTTTGTGGCCCCATTTGGCGTTTTCTTGGCAAAGATAAGTGGTTTGCCATTTCCTTTTCCAGCTCATTTTACAGATGAGGAAACTGAGGCAAATAAGGTTAAATGCCTTGTTCAGGGTCACACAGCTAGTAAGTATCTGAGGCTAGATTTGAACTCGTGAAGATGAGTCTTCCAGATTCTAGGCCTGGCACTCTATCTATTATACAACTGAGTTGCCACCCATACCCTACATTAGTGCCTTCTTTCTGAGATTACTTCCCATTTATCCTATATACACAAAATGTACACACACAGTATATGCATATGTACACACATATATGTGTCTATATTATATGTATACAGTTATTTGCATATTGTCATTAGAGTATGAGTTTCTTGAAGGCAGAGATAATTTTTGCCTTTCTTTGTCCTCCCAATGCTTAGCACAGTGCCTGTCACATAGTAAGCACTTAATAAATGCTCATCAACATAATAATAATAGTAACAACAACAACTACTACCATTTGTGTAGAGCTTTTAGGTCTGCAAAGTTCTTTATAAATGTTAACTTTCACACCCTACACACCCTGCAGTTTCCAATTTATATATCTTTGTTCACAGTTCCTATGGACTGGAACTCCACCTTACCTCTCTGAATGAATTCTTACTCATCATTTAAATGTTCTCTTCTTTTCACATCCTCCTTTGTCTCTTATCAGACCCTATTTATACTTTGCACCAATCTCAGTGCTTTCCACGGTTTTTGTTGTTTTGATTTTGGTTTAGTTTGTAGTTATTTATGCATGTAACATTTTTCCCTACTAGATTTTAATATCCTTGAGAAAACTTACCTTTCTTTGTATCTCTACCAAAACCCGGTCCAATGTTCTGAACATAGCAAGCGCTTAAATGTTTCTTGAAATTGAATTTGTTGAACAGGACGCTAATGTAAGATTTCCTCAGGATTTAGAGATTCTTGCCTAGAGATTTTTAACACCACAAAAAAATGGATGGATTAGAATGTGATCATTGGTGAGAGCAGAAATTAAGACCCGAAGACATTTCTTGTCTTCCTTTGGGCCCTGGGGCTCTGTGGCCAATAGAAATAGGCATAACATGGAGCCAAGAAGAGTAGGACTCACTGTGGGGCCAGGATTCTCAAACAGTAAACATCTATTAAGTACCTACTGTTTATTAGTATAAATTATTGTAACATTATAAATGATATTATTAAGTACCCCAGTCACTGTGCTAAGCACACACTCTCCATCTCCATTTCACCAGAACTGAGACTTGCAGAATGAACTTTATCACTTCGTTAGTGACATAGATCAGAGTCAAGATAGGTTTCAAAGGACAGCTTAGAACTGACTCTCTTTTTGTCTTCACTGCCCATCAGGCACCAGTCTAGCACACTGCCTTATTAGACACAAATTAAACCTCCAGGATCTCCAGGAGAAGCTTGTCAAGCCCTTGCTTAATAAATTGAATTAAGAATAAAAACGCTCGGTTTCTATTTTCCTAGTTATGAAAATACAACGTACTCCCTACATGGTCATAGAAATGTGCCGGGTCTGGGGTGGGGGAAGCAAAGCTGCACTTTCTTTAGAGTCCATTAGGTGGCACTATTGCTTTCTTTAAGGCAGAAGGGACCTGCTCCTGCTGAAGCTTACAATAGCCATCAGTCAGTAAAGAAGCAATTGTCCCATGCTCTGTGTGTTACACACGGAATAGGCTAAGTCAGCTCTGCTGATGCAGGCCACCAGTGTAGGCCTAGATGAGTCGTCTGGTATCACTTGATTCTGCAACAATCAAAGACACTTTTAGGCATTCTTGGGATCTAAGGCAAAGAGGAAACGTAGAGTTCATCTCTTCCTCTTCCTGCAGAAGAGGATCCTGAGTCCCGAAGAAGTCCAGCGATTTGCTCAAGGCCATTCAGATCATAGGCCTCAGAGCTAGGATTTCAAAGAACAGGACCATTTCAGAATCGCAGACTCAAAGTAAATCCATGCCCCAGTCCCCAAAGGATCCCCACTCCCCAACAAGTAACCATCCCTCCTCCACTCAAGGAATTCACATTGCACGTTGTGAGCTCCTTGAGAGCAGGGGCTATCTTTTATCTTTCATTGATTGCATCCCCCACCTCTGAGAAAAGTGCCTGACACCCAGTAGGTGCTTAATAAATGCTTGTTGACTTGCCATTCCAAAGCTGCCCATTTTACTTATTCAAATCCAACTTATCTGACTCTAAATCTGGCTCTCTTTTCCATGCCTCCCTGGTGTTTCCCAACTACTCATAACTTCTCCCAGAAACCTTGTCTATCAGGCACATGTAGCTTGGAGTTATTTAGATATATTTGTCACTTTTCAGGCCCCTTTCCCCTTCCACTATTAGTGCCTTCCCTGTGAGATTACTTTCCATTACACTCTATTTACTTTATATATACATAGTTTGCATGCTGTCTCCCTCATTAGGTTGTGAGCTGAGAGAAAGGACTGTTTTTATTGTGGTGGTTAAATTATTTCCGTTGTGTCTGACTCATTGTGACCCAATTTGGGGATTTTCTCTGTGAAGATACTGGAGTGGTTTGCCATTTCCTTCTCCAGTTCATTTTATAGATGAGGAACTGAGGCAAACAGGATGAAGTGACTTGTCCAGGGTCACACAGCTGTTAAGTGCTTGAGGCTTGCTGACTGGCCCACTCCCTACCTTGCCTTCATTACCCACATCTCTGATTCTAGATTATAATCCCATTGAAGGCAGAGCCTTTGCCTTGATGGCTTTCACTCCCAAGCAGGATACAAATTGATCTGTTACTTTTGCCTCCACTCTTGGGCTAAGTTTGTTTTCTTCAAGTCAGTCAGCAGCCAGGATACTGGTTTTCCTCTCCCTTGATATTTCAAACAGAGGAAGGCTTCTTCCTCTCCAAGGCCTTAAACGTTGTGTGCTTAGATGATTCGATGTATGAGCATCAGTGCCAGAAAAGAAGTCCAACAAAAGAAGATTCCTCATTTTCTTCCTATGGACAATGTTGAATATTCTCCAGGAATATGGGGATGATTATAAGGAGCTAATAGATTTCAAATCTCACTAAGGAACATGGCCTAATGGAAAGGGCACTGAATTTGAAGTCAGAAACTTGGGTCCATCTCACAACTCTATTCACTTCCTATGTGTCCTTAAGCAAGTTATTAAACCTCTGTCAGTCTCAGTTTCCATCTTCGTAAAATGAGGAGATTGAACTAGATTAGGAGTTCTTAACCTGGGATCTCTAGGTAGATTGGGGGAGGTGGGGGTCTGTGAACTTGGATGGGGAAAATTGTGTTAACCTCCAGCTGAAACCAAACATTTCTTCCATTAATTAAAAACATGATTCTGAGCAGGGGTCAATGGGATTTTCTAGACTGCCCAAGGCATCTGTAACACACAAAAATTTTAAGAACCCCTGAAACAGATGATCCCTAAAGCCTCTTCTACCTCTAAATCCTGTGATGTTATATGTAATGCTGCTCAGTTTGCTTCTGGTCCATGGGGAGATGATGATGACATCAAGACCTAGTAGGTTGAGACTTTTAGGAGCTAAATAACAGTTGTATTGCCTCTGAGAGATAGTACATTGCTAAATCCTACTGAAAGCATTCCACATTCCAAAGATTAGTGTTCCTTATTATGTGATTGAGTCATTCTGTTTATCATCTTCGATTCCAAGATGGAAACCAATTGCATGGACCTTCATTTTGTGTTCTTCCAAAATATGAATTCTCTGTCAAAAAAAAAAAGAGATGTCTTTTTTTGGACTAATTTTTGTGTGTCTTCTTTTGATTTCTAAACTTTTCAGTTCCATAAAGGAGCATGATAAGTAATGAAATTACACTGCTGAGAAATCTCCATGAACATCTGTCTTCATTCTGACATTCCTTTTCATGTTTTAACTTTTGTTAGAGATTCACATGAAAGAGACCTTGTTCCACATCAGAAACACCACAGGGTTGCCTGGCAGCTGACTTCCCCCAACTCTGAGGATGTACGGGAGGAACAAAGAGTATTCAAAAATGTTGACTCATTCAAGAAATTAAGGTACAAGTGAGGCAAGGAAACATGTGAGAGAGGATGTGACTTCATGACTGTCCTGTGGGCAAATATATTTCAAAGGATTAGTGATTCAATGCAGTGATCTTATTATTAAGTCCCTACTATACTGAGAGCTCTGTACTAAGTGCTGGAGAAGAAATAAGTAAGAAGTGATAACAGTTGGAGCTAGCAAGGACCTGAGAAGTTATTCAGAACAACTCCCTCTAATTTTATAGAAGAGGAAATTGCAGCCAGTCCAGAGAGATAAAGATCATAGGTCACCGTGACTTACCTAAGGTTTCATGGATGGTTAAGTACTGGAAGTTAAGGTTCTAGGGTAGAAAGAGACGTGAATTTAGAGGTAGATGAATTGAGTTTCAATCCTGAATCCGCTAGTTCCAACCTGTGGAATCTTGAGCCTAATCCCTTTCAGCCTCAGTTTCCTTATTTGTAAAATGAGGCAGATCTTTAAGGTCTCTTTTATCTTTAAAATCTGTGATAAGTAATGGAGATCAAATCTGAACCCTGTTTTTTTGCTCCAAACCCAGTGCTCTCGCCACCTTTTAGAAAAAGGCCCTAGTACACAAAAGCTGAAATTGTGAGCTTATTTGATTATGTTGTCACATGTTTTGGGGGAAAAGGCATGTTTTTTAGTGCATGTGTATCTAGCATGTGCTGCCCCACCTAAGCTCTTAATCCATTCTCTTTCCTTCTCTCTGTCTTATTTTTTGTTGTTATTAGATGCAAGGCTAAGAACGTAAATTATTACATGCCATCTTTTTATCCCAAATAAATCATTTGATATTGCGGCAATTTTGTATTTGGAAGACAGACACTGGAAGATTTGCATTTATCTTGCTAAAACATTTCAAGTTTAATAAGTTTGTTTAATACTCTGAGGTCCCCAAGTGCAGACTTCTTGGAAATCTGAGATATCATCGAATTACCTTTATTTGATTCTATAGCCAAGTATGTGGATTGAGGGAATGAGAGCGTCCATTCTTGTGGGCCTGACAAAGTGAACCTAGTATGGAAAGGAAGTCAGCCTTGTTTCTGCAGAACACGTATGCCCGCCTCTTCTTTCTCCCCTTTCCTCTTTGCCATGTCTTAGCTGCCTTCCCCAGGTCAGCTTTCCCTTATTTACCAAATGACTTCTTTTATTTGATTTTCTCATCTCCATCCTCCTAAAACCAGAGTCCCCCAGAATATACTGACATCAGTTACAAGTGAAACTCAAAATTCCCATTTATGCTGGCCTGGACACTTAGTGACCAGCAGAGTCGTGGCTCTCATTGTGCTGATCCTGGACCAGGCCATGTTACTGTGACTCACAGCAGGCCCCTGTCTCTCCTGAAGAGCTTACAATCACCAGGACATCAGGTTCACAGGGTGTTTTTCTGCTGCTAATGGACTTTTCTGTATCTCAGCAATCAGATAAAGCATAGGATACTACAGAAGGCCTGCCATCAGCAGTTTGAATTCAGAGATGGGTGTATTGTCAACTGTTCCATTCCGAACCTTGTCTTGGGGGTCCAGCGTCTCAACTTGCATTCAGGTTCTGGGGTTGTTCTGGCGAGGAAGAAGTCTTACGACAAGTATCAGAAGTGGCTGCACAAGGAAGAGAGCAGGTAGGAACCATTTTGTTTTTGGTGAAAATATCCAAGGTTGAGTCAGAGGTTTCGATGGCAGAGCTCCAAGGGCTTGGGATTTTATTTGATCCCGTTCATTTGGCTTGCTTTTCTTCCTGTATGGGGGGAGGGGTGTGTGCTCAGGAGGTGGAGGAAGACCATAAATAAATGTTCCGTACATACCTAGCCACCTATCTGGACTCTGATCAGTTAAGATACGTGCATTCTGACCTACTGGGTGCATTGGTTATATTATTATCTGGCCGTGTAGTGCAAGAAGAGATTGGACTATAATTTTAAAATATGCCATTTACAGATCAACCGAAGATTCTAAAAAACCTGTCATTTTTCACTTTTGCCTTGTTTTACTCAGACTGTTCCACAGAATTTGCAAACTCGTAGATCATCCACTGACTGGAAAAGAGCAAGTATAAACAGTGTAGCCTCCTTAGCTTCCATTTCTAATTTGGGGGGTAGGGCTCTCCCGCTTCCTTGGCCCAAGGGCATTGGATTTAGGGTCTGAGGGCCTGGGTTTGGGTCCAGGGCCTTCCACTTACTGTCTGTGTGATCTGGAACAAGGCACTTCCCCCAAGTCTCAGTTTCCTCATCTGTAAAACAGAGTGAAAAGGGAGTCAAAGTGAATGATTTCTAAGGTTCCTTCTAGCTCTGAATTCTCCCTTGGAAGTGTGTGTGTGGGGGGGAGGGGAAGCCCCTCTTCTCAATCCTCTTTTAATTCTAGCAAGGGAGCACTGCTACCTTTGCTTAAGAGAAGCCAGGGAAAGCATTGTCAATATTAATGAGAAATAACTTCTCTCCACTCTACCTCCAGCTTTTCTCAAATGAGATAATATTTGTAAAGTGCTTAATGACCTGCACACAGTAGGCACTTGGGCAATGATTGTTCCCTTTCCTTTCCTTTCCCTGGTTCCACAGAAAATTTGCTATGGAGCATCAGCTTTGATCCACCTGTGCATTTAGGCAAGGGGGATAGTTAGCTGTGGACCCATTTTGGCATTCTACTCTCTTTCATTGTTCAGTCGTTTTTTCAGTTGTGTCTGAATCTTCATGACCCCATTTGAGGTTTTCTTTGCAAAGATACTGCAGAGATTTGCCATTTCCTTCCCCAGCTCATTTTACAATGAGGAAACTGAGGCAAACAGGGTTAAGTGACTTGCCCAAGGTCACACAGCTAGTAAATGTCTGAGGCCAAATTTGAACTCAGACTCCAGGCCTGGCGTTCTATCCACTGTTCTACTTAGTGGCCCGTTTTACTCTCTAGGAGGCAGCAAACACCTAGGAAATCATAGTTTTATGATTCACAATCTCCCCATTCCTGAAACTCACCCCCAAATAAAGAAGTGTTAAGGGAAGTCCCCACATATCCAGGGTCAGCCGCATAATTAGAGAGGGTAGGTAGCTGCCTACTTGGAGTTGTTGGAGACTAGGAAAAGTCTCCATGCTCCAAAGAGAGGATGCCTGAAACGGAGGCTCCACGGATGCCCAGAACCTTAATGTCACCGAGTGATATTGGGAATATAGACCCTGGACCCTGGAGCCAGGACGCCGGACTTCAAATCTCCGTGTCACCCTGGGCAAGTCTTTCAGCCTCTTTTTTTGTCATCTAAAAATACTGAGGGGAGCACCATGCTACACGGGGTTTTTGTGAGCATCAAATGATACAACATATGTAATCACAATTACTAGTGCATAGATAGCCCTTGGAAGTTTGCAAAGTGCTTTATACACCGTATCTCATTGGCTCCTTACAACATTCCTTGTGAGGTGGCTGCTTTCATTATCTCCATTTCACAGATGAGGAGACTGGGGCTGAGAGACTAAGTGATTTGCCACGGGTTCGCATAGCTGCTAAAGGTCTAAAACAGGATTCGGATTCAGGCCTTCCTGACTCCAGCTGTCAGTGCTAGATAAATGTTACTATTATTGTCATAAATTGCCATGGAGGTCCCCTAGTCTAGCCTTTTTCTGAAGCCGTAAATGTCATTTAAATATCCCCACGAGTGATGATCCTGCCTTTCCTTAAATGCCTCCGGTGATGAGGAATCCTTCTCTCAGGAGGCAGTCCATTTCATTCTTAACAACTTGAATTGTGAGAAAGTTCTTCCTTAGGTTACAATAACACCAGTCACCCTGTGACTTTCACTTTTTGGCAGATTTCTTCTTCCTAGAAGCCCCTAAAATATGCCCAATCCCCCTATCACATAATCTTTTAGAAAATGCCAGATTTCATCTGTATGGGTTGACTTAGTTGAACAATTCATGTCACATTCTCTCCACACCTTACTTAATGGATCTTCGTGAGTTGCTTTGGCTGGAAACAATTATCAGTGGGTAGTGATAATTCTGGTGATTAGCTTCTCCAAACCCACCTACTAAACTAGTTCTTGGACAAAAGTCGTATAGTTTTTTTACCGGATCCATATTCGCTCTTTCCAGCTGGACAGGATATCCCAGAATTTGCCCTCCACTGACTTTTGAAAACTCAGTGTTTCTTCCAGATCATGATAAAGCATCTAAGTAAGGCTTTAGTGGAGGTCCCTATGATAAAGATAAACCTTTAAATCACAGTTTTGAAGACCATGATTTCATCCTCTCCAAATCTTCTCTGCTCAAAGCTAAATTGCTCACATTCTTTCAGTTGACCCTTCTATAAGATTTTCTAGTCCTCAAAAATCTTCATATACAGATAGTCCAGGAGATCTTAGAAAGAGTGAAGCAAAGATAGACTCCCAGAGAAGTGTTGAGGGTGGGATTTGGGAGAATAATCAAGATGAATTCACCTGTTTCACAATTCTGTTGGCCCTTGTAACAAGTCAGGATCAAATGAGATAACATTTAAAGACCATCCTCATCATCAAGGCTGAGTCTCCCTATGTTGCCCAGGCTGGAAGTGTCCTCTTTCTGATCTGGGCCAGGTAGGTGTCTGGTGCCAATATGGCACCAGATTTAGTGTGGACACCTGATCAGCTTTAGCCCTAATGAAGTTCAGAAATCCCAATCTCAAGAGATTCACCAGCTGCTCAGCTTTCCAGTCCTAGGAATTATACCACAATAATAGTGATGCTAGCTAATAGTAACGGTAACTCTTTCAGGCCATCCAGGACAGAAAGACAAATGAATTTTAGTTGTACCATTATTCTCTTCCTTTTCAGCCCCATTATTTAGAATCAGTTCTCTCACTCTCTTGGTGTTTGTTTCTTCCAAAGACCCAATTACATTCTTGCCCCGATATCCTGAAATGAATATGACAAAAAAAGCTTAGACAGACCCAGAGGGACAGCCACATTCTCCTGCCTCAGACATAATTGACTTGCAGATTCCTGAGAGATGATATGTTTACTCTAAAATCTGAAAGAAGAAAATAAAAATATATACACACAAACATAATGCAGCAAAGACCCACATCAGCACAATGGATGGAAACATGGGAAAAATTGCTAGCTCTATTATGAATCTGGCTGATAGATGTCCAAATATATAAGGTGGAGCACACTCCATTCTTTGCTTTTTTATAATTAAAAAAATGAGTTGATGGAAACACATTTTGGACTCCACGTAGAGACAAGTGATATTTAATGTTTTCTTTTGTTATGTTTTTAAGGGATTTCTCAAAGGAAAAAGATGAGGACTTTAAGAATTTATTACATTTTGAAATCAATGAGCTTCACCATTTGCCTCACACCACATATTTTATATATGCTACACATATTATAGAGATCTGGGGTTGAGAAGAGGGAGGGAGAATTGGTATCCAAACCTTCCCAAAAAGCCACTAATGGTTGAAGAGCAATGTCCAATCTGCCTATGGCACTTTGCAGCTGAAAGGACTTCTTCTTCCCCAGGACATTTCACCTGATGAGCAATCCAAACCTGGTACTTGCAGTAGCCCTGCCCACAGGATCAACAGAGGATGTTGCCGAGACCACAAGCTACCCTGTTATTGTTCAGGTAAGCTTTGTGTGGGCTCAAGAGTAACAAAGAAGACTTTCCTTCTCAATATCAAGTTTTAAGCTATTAGAGCTTGTATCTACACTAAGATGCCTGAAACACCCCGTATCAGACCAAAGTTAGTGTTTCTTTGATAGAGTTTTTGATCTAGACCTCTGATGTCACCAGTGTAGAGAACTTCCAATATGGAAACCCTTTCCGTGGATGCAGTTCAACAGCTGTTCTGGACCAGGCCTGACCCAGAGCCCACACTTGCAGATCATTCAGCAGTTCACAAAACCAAAAAAAAAAAAAAAATCCTTAATCTTTACAAAAGAAGAATGTTCAACAAGTCTAGGTACTGAGGACACGTCAAGTTGGTTCTGCTGATCAAAGTCCCTCTGCTTGGGCTGGCCATTGTTTTCCAGCATTGGAGCATTGGAGTGTCTAGAGCGTCCTTGTAGCTGTTTTGTACTCAGGCGACCAGGCAGTGATGTCCGCAGCCTGAGTCTTATGTCTCCTGAACCAACCAATGGGTGGTCTTGATATCTCTAAAAGAAGAAATAGCCTAATTTGCATGGCAGCAACTCTCTGTATCTTACGGTCTTAGAGACTGGCCTGGAACACCAGCCATGGAACACTCCATGACCTGCTCCTGGTCTCAGACCCAGGATGTGTCAAAGGCGGCACTGGAATCCAGGACTTTTTGCCTTCAGGATGGTCCCCCTGTCCACTATATCATGCTGCCTGTCAATGCATTTTTGTGAAATGGTGGAAGAGAATGCCTGCCAAATTCAAATGCTGATAGGGTTGGCTTGAAATAAAGGCCTAAAACTCTTGAAAATATGTTCTGCTTTGATTTTGAGCTTGGCTTGTGAAGGTTGTATAAGCCTATGGATAGTTTTTATATACCAAGTTTCCAATGAAATACCAAACAGTAAAAACAGAAAAGTTACAAGAACATTTTCTATATTCTAGAGAAGTCTGTGTTCCTTTCCTATATTGGATCAGTTTGTGGAATTTTTACTAAAAGGCAATGGGGTATAGTGCTGGGGTGTCAAACTCAAAGAGAAATGGATCCCTGCCTCTGTATATTGACTTAGAAAACCACAAATTAACATCTATGTTGTATTGTGAGCAGCTGGGTGGTGCAGTGGATAGAGCACTGGGCTTGGATTCAGGAAGATCTGAGTTCAAATCCAGCCTTAGTCACTTACTAGCTGTGTGATCCTGGGCAAGTCGCGTCACCCTGTTTGCCTCAGTTTCCCCATCTGTAAAATGAGAAAGAAAGGGCAAACCACTCCAGTATCTTTGCCAAGAAAACCCCAAAAGGGGTCACAGAGAGGCAGACACAACCGAACAACGACAAATGTTGTATTTTGATTTATTTTGTCAAGCATTTCCCAATGACATTTTAATCTGGTTCAGGCTTCCCTGGGAATTTCTGGGAGAAGATTTGGAGTTTGACACCTCTGGTGTAATGGATAGAGTGAGCCAGCTATGTGACCTTAGGCAAGTCACTTAAAATACCTAAACTTTAGGTTTCTTATCTGTAAAATGGGTCTAAAAATAAGTACATTCCTCACCAGTGATTATGAAGCTCAAATAATATCTGTAGATGACTTGGCAAACTTTACAATTCATACATGTTAAATATTATTATAATTTATCTCTGATTTTTAAGTACTAAACCCCTACCCCCCACCACAAACAAAACTCACTAGATGAGTATGTTTGTTGGGTATGGATTAGACAAAGAAAGAGAATATTTCAGAGGACCTTAGCTCTCCCCTTGCTTTGTATACAAGAACAAAAATTACCAGAAGTCATGTTCAATAAACATATTATGTCTCTGCCTGACATCTAATTTATTCTGTACATTTTTTATACCAATGATGCAACTTGACTTACAATGCCCTGCCTCCAAAATTAGGATGTAGTAGTCTGGATAGAGAGTAAAGGTTAACCAACTCTTCTGTCCAGATGATAAATATGGGCTACAAATTTATTCGGGGTGACACTGTGTATATAATGTTATATTCCTTTTTATCAGATGCCTTTCTAGTATGGACTAGTGAAAGAAAGGCTAGCTCACACAATAAACACCTCCCTCTATTCCATCGAATTATATCAGTACAAATATTATTCCTGAAAGTCCTAGTTTTATTCTAAATGAATTTGATCCCAAAGTAATTTAAATTGTCTTTGGGGCTTTTTTTATTTATTGGATTTTTGTGCTTCTTTAAGTAATCAGCTTGTGAGAGTATGTTGAAGTGCTTGTAAAATAATTAATGTGATGGATGTTGAACTAATGCCAGGCAACCCCTCTGTCTTCTGCTAATATACAGTCATTCCATTTTCTGGGGGTTCTAGAGATGCCACACTGGCCATTCCCTTAAAAGCAATTCAGAAGGCTCCGTGTCCTTTTTATTGCTAATCCTTACCTTGGCACAATAGATGCTATTCATCGCTTTTTTATGTCTTTGGTTTGTCATGGTATTAATTAGCACCGTCAGTTGAAGACTATTCTCTTTCTTGGCCTGTTTTTAAATAAATTGTCTACAAGATCAGCAGTGATGACTTGATTCTTATTTAGTGCCCGCATCGTTGTCCTTTTTCTCAAAGAGGAAGCAAATGACATCACCATGTTGGGGTGAAGGTATGAGTGATCATACCAACACAAATTCCAAAGGCTCTTCCTTCCATAGGTTGGGCACAAATAGTCCATACAGGTGCTCGCAGAGAAGAAAGAGATGGTCCAATGACAAGACAGCAATGTAACATATGAGATATATGAGCATTATACTTTGAGCTTTTCTGGTAAAGGTCATTTCAGTTGGAAAAATGGAACTGTTTCTAAGATTGAACCAATTGACAGTGCCAAGGACTTGGGTGTATGTATATGCATACATTCATATGTAGTTGTTGTTCAGTCATCTCAGACTCTTCCTGGCCCCATTTGGGGTTTTCTTGGCAAAGATACTGAAATGGTTTGCCATTTCCTTCTCCAGCTCATTTTACAGATGAGGAAACTGAGGGAAACAGGGTGAAGTGACTTGCCCAGGGTCACACAGCTAATAAGTTTCTGAAATTGGATTTGAACTCAGGACTCCTTGACTCCAGGCCTGGTGCTCTATCCACTGTACCATCTAGTTGTCCCTATTCATACATATACATATACGCCCATCTATAACCCATATATATATACATATATGCATGTGTGTATATTATGCAGATATATAGATATTTTTTATTTTAGTAAAAAGAAAGAAATGTGGCATCTGACAGGAGTTACAGTTCTTACTGTGGTCAGAAAAGTTTACAAGATATAGAATAGTAAGGCAAGTCACAGGCCATTTCCTCCAACCACATCATTTTACCAGTGACAAAACCAGGGCTTCAAAGGAGGAAGTGACTTGTTCAAGGTCACTCAGCTAGTTAGTGAAGGGTTGGGGCCAGAATCTCAATCTTCACAGGGGCTCTTTCTACTATACCATGTTGCCTGTTTTCTTTCTTAATCTGTTGAAGGAACCAGAAATACTTCAGGGACTCATTGTTTCCCTTAATTTTCATGCCCTCCCTCTGTTGATTCTCTCCAATTACTCCTGCCCGCAGTTCCTTTGTACATAGTTGTTTTTGTATTGTCTCCCACATTAGACTGTGAGCTCCCTGAGGGCAGGGACTGTCCTTTTGCCCTTCTCTGTATCCCCAGAACTGTATGCCTGGCACATAATTGACATTTAGCAAATGTCCATCGACCAACATTCCTACTTGATGGTGTTTGCTTTGCTATTTGTTTTGACAGAGATATAAACCATATGGTAATGGGGCTTCCAATCAAAAGTGGCTTTACTTGAAAAACAGTAATGTGCTGAAGGCCTTCTATAGCACAAAGTTGGACATAGAAATCACGACGGCAAACCTCGCCGGTGTTTGTACATCAACTGTGGCAAAGGAAGAGAAAATTGACCAAGTAGTAAGTGGGTATCTACAATGGGCAGATGGCCACCAGGCCAAGACATTCTTTTTTTCTCCTGGAAAATGACCCAATGACCTGAGTAGGCTGTTGTCTGGGGAATGATTTGGTGTGACTGAGAAACCTAAATGAAAGAAAAAGGTATTTGTGAAGTTTTCCTGATGCAAACCACTTGGCTCAATTCGGGGAATACAGATATAATGGCCAAGCAATTCCTGCTCTCAAGGAGCTTCCATTCCAGTAAGATGAGCTACAAGTTGGACAGAAAGGCTTCCCGGTCCTTGGAGAACAGCAGTGGGAAAATAGGGGGTGGCCCATCTTCTTTAAAGTCATTTCATTTGAAAAAATGGAACTATTTCTAAGGTTGAACCAATTAACAGTGCCAAGGACTTTGGTGTATGTATATGTATACATTCATACATATACACATATGCATATCTATTACCCCAATATGTACATAGACATATACATGTATACATTATGTATATTATGCTTATATAGATGTCTATACATATATTTATAGTTATACATACAGCTATCATATAGATGTACATAATGTAGATATATTGATATAGTTATTTCTATACATATAGATGTAGTTTTAGCTATGTGTATATTGTACAGATTTATTGATAAGATCATATTTATATGTATAGATATATGAGCAGCTTGTTGGTTCAGTGGATAGAGTGCTGGGCCTAGAGTCAGGAAGACTCCTTTTCCTGAGTTTAAATCTGGCCTCAGACACTTACTAGTTGTGTGACTTTGGGCAAGCCACTTAACCCTGTTTGCCTCAGTTTCTTCATCTGTAAAATGAGCTGGAGAAGGAAATGGCAAACCACTCCAGTATCTTTGCCAAGAAAACTTGAAATGGAGTCATGAAGAGGTGGACGTGACTGAAATGACCGAACCATAAATACCACATACATATATATGGATACAGTTATATCTATATGTATATTAAGCAGATATATTGGTGTATTTGCATACAGATATTTTGCTGTTGTTTGGTTATTTTCAATCATCATGTCTGACTCTTCGTGACACCGTTTGGGGTTTTCTTGGCAAAGATATTGAAGTGGTTTGCTATTTCCTCCTCCAGCTTGTTTTACAAATGAGGAAACGGAGGCAAATGGGGTGAAGTGACTTGCCCAAGGTCATACAGCTAGTATATGTCTGAGGCCAGATTTGAACTCAGGAAGATGAGTCTTCCTGCCTCCAGGCCCAGCACTGCATTCACCAAGCCACTTAGCTGCCTGACATATAGCTATATATATAAAAATATCTATCTGCATATTATAATATATACATTTACATTTTAGTGTGTATTACAGGTTATAGATATGCATATATGCTTATGCATGTGTACATATAGTTACATTTATATCCATCTATGTATAGATATAACTATGTGTTTAAATGACTAAAATAAAGCATATAGGATTACCAAGGATACCAATCATAGTGACAATAGAGATGTAAATGCTTTTTTTCCCCCATCCTAGCTAACAGATCCCCTGAAATATATTTCTTGGGGGTCTCTGGATTCTAAGAACCTTTGATTTAGGGTATATTAGAGCCTGGAGACTGGGAATCTGGCTGTCCCCATACCAGGGTTTCAGAATCCTGAGACCCTGAGGTAAAGTGGGAGCAGAGTAAGGGGGGGGTGTTGAAAGCCAGGCCAAAGGGTTCAGAATTTGGGCAATAGATGACCAGAAGGCATTGTAGGTTTCTGGTCAGAGAAATGACATCCCAAAACCCTCCATGTCCTCATCTGTAAAATGGAGATATTTGTGCCACATCCTTCATGGTCCTGTTGTGACAAAAGCATTTTGCAGAACTGTATAAATAGGAATTATTATTTTTATTACTATTAGCAGAAACAGTGGTAGCCATGCCTTTTCATAGGGAATGTAGTTGAAGTTTGTCAAGAAACAACCCTGTGCTTTTTCTCTGTTTTATTTTGTTTTTGTCTGGACTTGTGATTCATCCTTCCAGGGAACTCATGGCATGAAAATTCCCTCCACCAGTGTAGATCTTTATCTCTTCTGTAGCTCATAGAATCCCAGATCAGGAGTTTTTAACCTTAGGGGGAGAGGGGGAAGGCCATGGACCCCTTTGGAAGTCTAGTGAATACCCCTTCTCAGAACAATGTTTTTCAACACATAAAATAATAGGATTACAAAGGAAACGAATTATAGTAAAATACAGTTATTAAATATACATATATATATATATACATATAAATTCATTGACCTCAGGTTATCAACCCCTGTCCTAGAGAAGTGCATGAAGTCACTGAGAAGCTATAAGGGGTGCTCCTGGTCATACAATAGTATGTATCAAAGGAAAGAAGGAAGGAAGGGAGAGGGGGAAGAAAGGGAGGGAAGAAAGGAAAGAAAAACGGAGCGAAATGAGTGGTTACTAAGTGTTTTACAAGTATTATCTCAGTGATCTTCACAATAATCAGGGGTGGACATCACTATTATTATCCCCATTTTACAGATGAGTAAACTGAGGCAAATGGGGGTTAAGGGACTTGCCCAGGGTCACACAACTAGTAAATGTCTGAGGCAGGATTTGAACTCAGGTTTTTTGTACTCCAGGCCCAAGACTCTATTCACGGTGCCACAGTGAACCCTGGTATTTCTGACCCCAAGTTTGGCCCTTTGATGATGATATGAAAATACCACTTTAAGGTTTGCAAAATACCTTGCTGATATTGTTCAACTTGATCCTCCCAATCACCTTGGGTGCGATTATTATTCTCATTTTACCAATGAGGAAACAGGATAAGAAAAGTTAAGTGACTTGCCTAAGGTCACACAGCTAGGGAGTGTCTGAGGCCTCATTTGAACTCTGGTCTTCCTGGCTCCAAGGTCAGTGCTGTGTCTATTGTGCCACCCAGCTGCTCATGTCACTCATACCCTTCTATATACATGGATTAACTCTGAGTGTTTTGCACCAGCCTTGGAGAAATCAGTGAGATAAGAGAAATGGACCTAGACTATCTATGTAAATAAGGAAATCCAGGTGAATTTAAAGACCACACCTACCATTTCCTAGGGCTGGGTTATGCTCCAGATTCTTACAGGGAGTGCTGGGCTGATGCCACATTCAGAGAATCAGCTCCCTGATCTCCTTCCTAGGGCTACCACTTCCATCCCCCGGGCTGCAAGACTAAGATCAGGATCTGCTTGGCTTGCGCCCAGTCCATGGTTAACCGGAAAGATTTGAAAAAACTGCCTCCAGGGAACAAGTTCGCCTGTGCCTTTGGTTCAAACCAGGTATGTAACACACTGAGGTCTGCTAACGCCACACGGCAATGGGCGCAAAGCTGTGAAGTCCTTGGTTTTCTTTGAATGTTCTTAGTTTTTCAGCCTCTTTGAGAAAACTCATTCTGTTCTATTCCAATGAGTATTGATTAAGTGTTGACTATGTGCCGGGGGTGGGGGTGGGGGGTGGGGTTGAGGGGAGGGCGGCAATACAGGGTGTCCCAAAAGTCTTAGGGAGGTATTTATCTAACAGCTATTAAACCTTCAATCTGTTCTAAGTAAGACTTTGGGGACATCCTATCCAAGAAATGAAATAAAACAGTCCCTGCCTTCCTGCAACTTCTGTCTCTTTCTTCTCTACTCTTTCAGTTCTTCCCCTGTTTGAGTGATCCCTTTCTTTAACCACTTTATCTAAATTAATTCATCATTTTCCAAGTTAGATTAAAATACATTTTCTAATAATAGTCTGAATTTTACCTTGATGTCTCTTGACACTTCTGCTGCTCTCCGCCCCTCATCTACTGTTCTGCTCTTTATTCAACTTAATTTAAGTTCTTTTTTAAATTTTATTTTTAATTTATGGAATAAGGCAAGCATTTCCGTAACATAGTACAATAAAAAAGATGATTGCACATGAAACATGAAATTAAATTGCAAATTTAATTCAACAAACTTTTGTAAAGCACCTACTGTGTGCAAAGTGCAAGCATCTACTAGCTGCTGGGGGATACAGGGACAGAAGTAAAGCTTATCTTCTGCTAAGGAGATACAACATGTTTGCACATTTTTTAAAATGAGGTATTTTGAAGAGAGAGAGGGCTAACAACTGGGAGGGACCAGGGAATGTTTTGAGAAAGACATACCACACAACTGATCCTTGAAGAACCTAACATTTCTGAGAGGCAGGAATAAGGAGCAAGTAAATTCCAGGGCTAGTACACAGTGGGAGATGGAATGAGGCTGAGGATCTAACCAGAAAGCCGGCCAGTTTGTCCGAAACCTAGAGTACATAAAGTGAACTAATAGTTCGCAAAGTTAAAATAGTACCAAGCCCTTCTGTGGCTTTATGTGGGCACTAAAAAACCCTAACAACTCTTCATTGATGCAAATACACTCAGGGAGATTTGCTTTGCTATCACTAATACACCTTAGCTCAGTTACCCCCATCTCAATTTATGTATAATGGCTGGAGAACAAATCACCGCCAGACAGACCAACCTGGGATCTCAGTTTATACCAGGGTGATTTCAGCATCCCAATTAACTTGTAATTTTGTGAAGGATTGTTTTACATGATTGCACATGTACAACCTATATCTGATTGTTTACTGTCTCAGGGAGGAGGGAAGCAAGGGATAGAATTTGGAGCTCAAAACTTTGAAAGAAAAACAAATGTTAAAAAATTGTTTTAACATGTAATTTGAGAAAAATAAATATTATACATTAATTTTGTAAAGGATAAGCCTGTAGTGGAATTGATCATTGTTTCACCACTATAGCTAAGGGGCAGATCCCTGGAACAAAATGCAGTGAACATCACTGAATAACAACAGCTACAAAAATATTTTGCTCTGGGCATAAAACATGCCACAATTTACTTGTCTTTCAGTCAAAAATATTTATCAAGTTCATGCTGTGTATGTACCTTGCACTGTGCTAAGATTGGGGATATGAAGAAGGGCAAAAAACAGGGTTCTTGCCTTGAGAAAGCTCTCATTCTAATGAGTGATTCAACAATTACGTACGTCCAATGTACGTGTACAATATATGGAAGGTCCCCTTAGAGGGAAGGCACCAGTAGTCATGGGGCAGGGGAGGAATGTGGGAAGAGAAAGAAGACTGGGAAAGGCTTCTGGGGGAAAGTGGGATTTGAGCCAAAGCTAGAAGGAAGGCCTGGAAACCAAGAGGTGAAGATGAGAAGGAAGGACATTCCAGGCACATGCAAACTGGTTTTTCGAGGTTAAGAAAAGCTTTTGTGTTCTCTCTCACACAGCTCTCGCACAATCACTCTGCTCTTTACCTTTACTCTTCCCTGGTCATTGCCTCTGGTGCCCCCTCTTCACCTTTAGTAGCAGTGGAAGGTAAGAGAAAGGATGAGGACCAACTGGTGCCAGAGAGAGTCAGGGGATTACAAGCCCAACAGGTATTCCTCTAAGTGGCCAGGCCATTGGAGGTCCGAGAGGAAATGAAATATTACTCACGTGCCATGGCTTTTAGTAGAAAGAGCGTTGGAGTGAGAATCAAGAGATATTAGTTCTTCTGGTTCTGCCTTCAGTTATGACCTTGGGCAAGTCATTTGCCTTTTTTTTTTCTTCAGCCAAAGATAAGGTTTATTAGAACATCCGTCATATTGGGCAGACTCTTAAGGAGTCTGAATGTTAGTAAGCTAAGAATCTAGGGAGTGGCTAGATTATAAGAATTGGAGCTGTGGCTAGATTTTAAGAATCTAAGCACCTTAATGTAGACAAGATGAACTTTATATACAGAAAGGCTATGGGAGGGATCTAGAAGTGGCCAAGTAGTCTATGAGGTAATAGAATTCCAGGGACCTGGATCATGTGGCCAAGGGAGAATGGAGCATAGATAGGATTAAGGGTGGGAAGTAGCCTGGGGCCATGGGAAGGTCCACAATGAAAGGCCAGTTGATGGGATTATAGCCTCAGGGGAACCCCAGAGATTTAGCCATGTGGGAAAGTCCAGGGTTTTTCCTTTTATGGAGTCTAGATCTCATCTTCATCATTCCCCCTCAAACAAATGGGACCCAAATTCTTTTGGGGTAAGGGGTGAAGGTCTCGGCTTCTGAAACTGCCTCCTGCTCTGGCAAGGGGTGTAGAGCTGTCCCTGCCTCGAGGGGGTTCCAAAGAGGAGGTTGACTGGAACTGAGCACAGGCTGCATCCAGGGAATGATGAGGCAACATTGACTGGTACCTGCTGCTTGCTACCAACTGTAGGGGAATGACCTGTAGTCTGGAAGACACAAATCTGACAGAAAGAACTGCAGGGCCCACATACAAAGCAGGGGCTAGATTCAGGGCCCAACTCTGAGAGGATAACACATCCTTATCTCTGTTTAGTTTCAGATAGTTCAGTCTTTCAACCATGCAGTATCAAGTCCACCTCCTAGCTAGACTCAGGAATAGCCAGATGGGTAACATTCCCTTTCAAAGGAACACAGTGGGGAAGCTGAGTCAGGAGGATTCCATCTTAGACTGAGCCTAAAATTGTCCTCTCAGCTTTTCCCAATGCTGACTTCCCACCAGTATCACATTCTCTGAGTAGCTTGTGGCATTTCTTTCAGATGGTGGATTATTGATTATCAATGGATTATGATCCATTAGACAACTCAAAATAAAATCCTATGAGCTTTTACCTCAAACAGCAAGTTTTACTAATCACAGCTTAGGAAAAACTTTTCCAGGATTTACATCTCAAACTTAAATTTGTCCTGGTGTAAAAAGTCAATCATTAGAGATTTCTATACGCTTGCAAATTCTCAGCAAGCTATAACCCAAACAAGCTTTTTGGCTAGTTTACACATTAAAACAATAACCAACAATAGCCAAATTATTTTAGCGGTAACCAAATTATGAAAAGTTGCTTGACATAACTGATACAAAAAGTTCACCAATTTGAAACTTGAAACAAACCCATTACCAATCAGGTGACTTCAGTTTTGTTAAATTCATTTCCAAATTACTTTGCACAGAGAATCAACATCTCATTATTAACAGTTAAAATTACAAATTTAAAAGAGTGTGCTTACCCAAGTTCAAGTTCGGAGGTCAGCTTTTTTTTTTTTTTTTTTTTTACCTTGAGCAGGGTGTGCTGAACCTGGGTGATGCTTCCAGGCAAAGGTTGCCCCAGGGCCCAAGGCCATTGCCAGGGGGATCCAGGCTGTAGCTGCTGCCCCTCCCCCCTCCTTCCTTTCCTAGGTGAGGGAGAGCAAAATCAAAGGTGAGGAGTAAAGGGTGAAACTCTCTTCTTCTGTGAGAGGAGTTAACATACCCTCTTGTCTCAAGGGAAGGGGGTGGGAGAAAGGAGTGACCACGGTTGTAAGGAGGAGTTTCAAAACTCCTTAATGATCAATCAGAAAACCTCCAAAATCTGGCAAGATATTTTCAGCTGTTCTAACTTTTCCCTGTAACCTCCATGAAGGAGGATTCAGAGGTGTAGAGGGAAGGGAGTAAGTAAGCCTCAGGGAACCAAAAAGCAACTGCAGTTTTCCCCAATTCTCTAGCGCTGAGAGAACTGACAAAAGTGGGCATACACTTTCAGATGAGGCATCTGTCCTTGTCCTCTATGTACCCAGGTCCATGGCCTCGAACCGACCCAGTGGACCGAGAGCCTGAGAGTGTCAGGTCGGGTGCGAGAAGCCTCATAACTGTCTGCCGGAAAAGGACCTCTGAGCCTTGGTGTTTGGAGAGCAACCCCAACTGCAGAGCAAGAAAGAGAGGTGGAGGGGAGGCTTACATACCTTCCAGTCTTGGCTAGAGAAGAACTTGGGGTTAGGCAGTTTCCCCGTATGGGCCACCAGAATGATGAGGTTTAGGGGCTTAGGGGTGCTGGGACCCCAGAATCAGAACATGCCGATCCTCCCCAAAAGAATTGGACCCAAGCCTTCTTTCAGCCAAAGACAAGGTTTATTAGAACATCCGTCATATTGGACAGACTCTTAAGGAGTCTGAACGTTAGTAAGCTATTGGCTAGATTCTAAGAATCTAAGCTGTCTTCCTTTTTTAAAGCACAGTTTTCCCATTTTACAAATGAGGAAAAAACATCCTCCCTAAAACAGCCTTCTGTAAAAGTCCGTGTCTCTTCGATGCTAATATAATGATTGTTTTGTTTTCAGGCTGATAAATTGTTGTAATAAAAGTATTGTGTGAATGTAGCCTGTGCTTCCCTCAAACATGGGCCTCTGAAAGCTAAACTGAGATCCAAGGCACGCTTCGGATTAGCATCTAATCAAAGTGACAGCTCACAAGTCCCCTAGAAATGTATTTTTTTCCCTTTTAATAAGCCAGACCAGAGGATGCATTAACGTAAAGCAAATGGTATTTAATGAAAATGTATAAACAAGTTCTTGTTATAGTCAAATAAAAGGGAAATATCCCACTTTTAAAATAAAAAGGGAAACCCCTCTTTTCCCACATACATAGGAGCAGTCTCTCTCCTAATTTTCTATCCAATGGAAGCAGAAGGAACATGAGTCAGGAACACACAGCCTAGAGCACATCCCAGGCTCTCTTCTGATCTACAACGCTGCATCACCAGTATCCTCGTGAACATTTTGAAGCGTACGTCCTGTAGGCATCTATAACTCAACATGTCCAGAACAGAACTGAATGTATTTCTCCCCAAACCCATGCCTCTTCCACACTTGGTCAAGCACACCATGTTCTTAGAGTCCCCCCCGCTCCCACCAGGTTCACAATCCCTGACTCTTTCTTCTGTCCTTTCTTTCACTCACCTCATATACAATCAATTGCTAAATATTGTCCTTCCCACTTTCACAACATCTCTTGCCTGGCTGCCCTTTTTTTTCACTCACAAAGCCCCTACAGTTCAGGTCCTGATCTCCTCTCCTCTGGAGTATTGTAATAATCTTGTAAATGGTCTCCCTACCTTTCCTTATTCCAACTCTACATAGCTGTCCAAGTGATCTTTCTCAAATTCAAGTAAACTAGTAAACTCCAGTGTCTTGAATTGAGGAAAGAGGTCTATAGTTCAGGAAATTTTAGCTCTTTTGTGCATCACACCCAGGGAGCCAGAAGACTATCTTTTTGAAATCTTTGATTCTGCTTCAGCTGCCATTCTCCCAGGCTTGCCTGCTACTTGATCTGGGGTGAGAAAATGCCTTCCAACCCCCATCATGCTCCTCTAACCAACATTGGCCACAACAATTTTCTTGGAGTTTTACTTCAAGATTGGAGGAGCAGAGAAGAGACTTGGGACATTTAGCATGCATTCTTATAGTTATACCCACATCTCTGTTCTCCATACACTAGTAAACACTTTTGGGGCAATCATGTGGCACAGGGGATAGAGCTCTGGGCCAGGAGTCAGAAGGACCTGAGTTCAAATTCAGTCTCAGATGTTTAGTAACTCTGTGACCCTGGGCAAATCACTCAACATCATTTATCTCAGTTTTCTCATCTGTAAAATGAGCTGGAGAAGGAAATGGCAAACCACTCCAGTATCTCTGCCAAGAAAACCCCAAATGGGGTCACAAAGAGTTGGACACAATTGAAAATGATTAAACAACAAAGTAAACACTTTTAAACATTATTGTGAAGTTTTTCTTTTCAAAAACATGTTGGGATAAGAAGAGATTTATCTCTCTCTTTTCATTACTCTCTCATTAAGATCTCTTTGAGATGGTCTCAATACAAATTTTCCAATACATTATTAGATGATTGGTTTTCACTAGATGATACCCTTTTAAATACATTTTAAGAAGAAGAGAAAGTTCTGGCAGCATTCAGATGTGTTACCTTTTAAAAGTCATTCAATGCAATAAACATTTAGCAAGCACCTATTGTGTACAGAGCACCATGCGAAGACCTGGGGGAGATAAGACATAACTCCAATCCTCATAGAGCTTGTGCTTTTAGTAGATTACTCCCTATGGTCCCTTGAAACCCAGCACCATCACAAATTAGAATTTGGAAGAGTAAGACAAGCTCAAGAATTTTGAACTCAAGACATTTATGTTTACTATCTCCCTGAAACTGAGTTACTTCCTCTATAAAATGAGACGTCTGGTTGATTCCTCTCCGAGGACCCTTCTGGCTGCAACAGGATGTGGCATTGTCATTTCAGCAATGGTGTTTCATAGTTGGTGAATTTGCCTTTGGAACCCTGATAGAAACGATTGGGGACTGTCCAAAGTGCCCTACGTGCTGACTATGGTTTGTGGCGATGTTAGGATGCCAGGAGTAGCCACGCAGCCTTTTAGGTTAGTCAAAAATTTAATTACTTAATTTTCATGTAGAAATCTCACAAGAGTATGAACTAACCAATGCAAAACATAGATGTCAAAAAAAAATATATATATATATATATACTTACCATGTGGAGATGGAATTTGGTCACGCCAAAACAAATATTTTGTCTCAGGAAATTTATGACAATAAAAATGTCATCAGTATGCTCTGTGGTGTTTTACAGGGTGATTTATCCTCTTGCAAAAATGAAAATAGTCCAAGGCATTATGAAGAACTTCTGTTATCTTTTAAACGAGGAGGCTCCACGCAAACTTTATCACATAATATTTTGGCAGCCATGAGCCAGAGGCCGGTAAAAGTAATTGCACATAAAAACGGAGCAGGATCCGCCAATGGCAAATTAATTGTGGCTCACTCTTTCCCTGTGGTAAGTGACTTCATTGTTCAGATGCTAGCTTCCTCCTTAGACGTTCTGATATCATTTTTTTTTCTTGAGATGTAGTGGCCCTGGATGGTAAAAACTCTGAACAACTCCAGAGCTTGCAAATGATGTAATTGCTATTTTCTTTCCTACCTATATGTAAACTATTTCCTTGACCAAAGAGTTACAACAAAATGAGAAAACAGAGATAGCTTTTGTTTTGTTTTGTTTTGTTTTGCGGGGCTTGAAATATAGGGGGTTAGGGGACAATGTGCGGAGATATCAAAACTGGGAAATATTTAACAACATAAAAATACAATACAATAAAAATCACATTACATTTTAAAACTAAGCCAATGTACAGCCCACAAGGATCCTTATGTATTAATTAGTGACCCCCATTTCTTTTTGAGTTTGACACTGTTCTTGTAGGGGATAGACTGTAGGACCTGGAGGTTGGAAGACCTGGGGTCAAGTACTACCTCTGACGTTTGTCAACTCTGTGACAAATGACTTAAACTCCAAATTATTTAACTCCCCTAAGCCTCAGTTTTCTTATCTGTAAAACTGGGATTATCTTAAAGCATCAACTTTTATATGATTGTTATAAAGCTCAACAGAGATATTGGAGAGATAGATAGTTTTACGTATATATGTATACTTAGAAATACTATATATATATTTAAAAGACTAAATAAAAATGTCTTAGCTTTATACATTGGAAAGGATGCTGGATTTGTAGTGAGAGAATGTGGATTCAAATCTCAGATATGCCAGTTACTACCTGAGCAAGTCATTTACCTCATTTCCTCAAATGCATAACTTGAGGGTTAGATTATGTGATCTCAGTGGTTCCTTTAGGTTCCAAATTTCTCCTCCTATGATCCAGTTGACTTCCAGATATTCCTATGCTAGACCTAATGGATAATAGATGTGAACCTCTAATAAATTAACTACTTAATTGATTCAACATTAAGTGCCTATTATTCTTGGCCCAAAGGGAAAACATAGAAATTTAGAGAAGATGTGGTCCCTGGCCTTCAAAGAGCTTATAGTCTAGGGGCATAAGATATAGTTAACAGGTTTCTACAATATAAAGCAATAATATACTACAATATAAAATCATGAATTAATTAGAGAGGTTTTAAAAAGTTGCTGTTAAGGTTTGGGATGGGGATATTTGTTACTGAAATGGCAATATCAAGGATGTTTCACAGAGGAAATGATATATGAATTAGGCTTTAAAGAATAGGTGGAGATTTAATGCATGAGGAATATCAGGTTGGGCATTCTGGGCATGCTCTGTAGAAGAATCTGGTTATTCATTTTCTAATTGGTTTTGTGCACTTAAAGGGACTTTCAGTTAATTCCCATCCATGAGGAGCAGAAACTATGTTAAGGTACTTGTATCAGTCTGAGATCTCATTGATGTAATTACTTCCTCCATCAATGCTAGTCACAACCTGTCCATGTTTACTGACCATCCTCAGTGAGCCTTATCTAGGTCTCCCTGTATATCCAGGACAAAGGAGCCACCCAATGTTGCTGGGGGAAGGGATTTCCTCTAGCTCTTCTGACATGTAGGTACCAATGGACATACTATTTAGATATAAATAAACTATTTAGACATAAATAAATAAAATTTGTTGTCCTTTATTCTCACTATATGACTCACCCATTCCTTTTCGTGTTATACATATCTTTGGTCATATTTATAACTCACTTGGTGTATTTTCACATGGAGATTGTTTCAAATAAAAATAGACCAACAGACCAATAATCATGGTATTTGCCTAGTAAACCTCTTCTATATGAAACGCTGTATAAAGTATAAAGCTCAATGCTCAGGTAAGGTCTTAGTATTCATTTCTACCCATCCCTTCACCTTACTACAAGGTGCCTCCATACATCTGTACCCATCAGAGGACTTTTCTAGAAGGGAGAGCTAATTCTTCTGAGCTAAATCATCCAGCCAAAATGGGGACCCAGTATTTAATTGATCACCCATATATGTGTGAAGATATGTCAGTAAAACTGGAGCCTATGTTTTCAACAACACTAGTAATGGGGGGAAAAACAGAGATCACCTGTAATTAGCATATTATTAGATTGGTTTTATAGGCATTTTTGTTGAAAGATAATGGCTGATCCTTTGTTCTCTCCCTTGGGTCTTAAACTAAGACTTGCCACCTCTGGGTTCAGTAATAATTAATCCCCTTCAGAGTTTTCCAAGTGTGATCTAATTTGGATCACACCAGAGGCCAGTTAGCTTTCCAGAGACTGTGTTCTCCACACATCAATGGCACCCATTTCAGAATTCACGGGAATTTTGTGACCAAAAGATGAAGATGAGAGAGTGTCCCAAAGATGCCCAGCACACTGATGGAGAAGTGGCTGTAAGCATACATCCTGGGGAAGGTGAATCAGGAGGCTTTAGGGTTAGGCAGTCTTTTGGGCTGGTAATGTACTTTATATGATCTCACTGGGCTCTCTCAATGAGACAGAGGAGGCCTGATCTATAGTCTCATATTTAGATACAGAGGATAGTACCAGAGCTAAGCACAAGAAAACAAGGCAAGAATTGACTTGAGGTTCTTTCTTGCTTAAAAAAAAAAATAGAGGAGACAGTAAAGGAATTCTCTTTATAGTTGAACATAAATAATGTTTATTGGGAAGACATTGGTGCTCAGTGAACTAACAAAAGCTGAGGAGCCAGAGGCTCACAGGGCTTCATCTAGGCTCCATCACTGCCTGGTTTTGTGGCCTCAGGCAAACAATTTAACCCTCCTGCCCCCTTCTCCATTGTAAATTGGAGGTAATGACATTTATCATCCATTTTCCCAACAGCTTGGTCATGAAGGTTAACTAATCATTCATTTCAAAGCAGTTTGTACATAGGAAGTACTACAGGAATGCTAAGCCACATTAGAAGAACAGCATTGAATGCTCTTTTCCAGGACTCACTTCAAGCAAATACCTTGATCACAAAATGTGCTGAAATGTCCCGTGTGTGTAGGGATTTACCACCGAAACAAATGAGGGAATTGTCACAGGACGATTAAACAAATGTCACTGGAACCTATAGACTGTATGTATGTATATGCATATTGTATAGATACACACACATATACATATATATTATGCATACAGGTATATATTAACATATACACCAATATATAACACATACACACGTGCTTTATATATGTATACATATATGCATATAGGTGTACGTGTGTATATTACACACATATATACATACACATGCATGCGTGTGCATGTAGTCTACGTATGTTTGTATTATGTGTTATATGTACAGACATGCCCATATATAGACATATATGTACCTATGCACACATATATCATATGCACATCCATATCCATATATACACATGTGCTACTAGGTAATATGTTATAGTTTGGAGTAGAATTCCTGAGCATTCAATGAGTTGCTGTACCAAACTGAAGAGTGATATTCTTCATGTTTTAGTCACCATCCCTGACCTCCTACCCCACTGCCTAGATTCTTACAGTATGTATTTTCCAGCTTCTTTCAGCATGCACGACACAACTCGGTCTGACCAGAGCGGCTTCTAGACTCTACACATATGATGGTACCACCATTCTTAACCTAAATGATTTAATTTTGTGGGCTGTGAATGAATCCTTGAAACACAAAGACTCTGAAGAAAAAAAATATGTATTCCCAGAGGAGAACAAAGAAATGGTGATTCAGAGTACAGAAGGTAAGTCCAACATGGCAGAGTTGAATTAGCCCTGGAATATTAGTCAGAAGACTTGCACTCTAGCCCTGGGCTCTTTTACTTACTAGCTGTTTGAATCTGAACAGGGTGCCTTCCTTAGCCCCTTGGGCCTCAGAATTCTTCAGCTCAAAAATGATGGAGTTGGACTTGATGACCCAGAAGTCTCTTTCCTCTTTAATGTTCTTTAATTCTAGGTTTCATAGCAACTGTCATTGGATTTAAGAACTGGAAGGGATCTTAGAAATCGTCTCTCTTCCAACCTCTTAGTTAGAGATGGAGGGAACTGAGATCCCCAGAGGGCAAGTGATTTGCTGCAAATCACACAGTGAATAAATTCATTCCAACAGCATTTTTCTAGTAATGCCAGTGCCTTCTCTCTGTTGAGTGCCTCCAATTTATTGTGAAGATAACTTACGTAGAAAGAGTTTGAGTGTTGTCTCTGCCATCAAACTGTGAGCTCCTCAAGAACAAGGACTGTCTTTTGTCTTTCTTTGTCTCTTCTGAGCTTAGCACAATGCCTGGCATATTTATTATTATTCATTCATTCAATCGTATCTGACTCTTTATGACTCCATGGACCATAGCATGCCAGGCCCTTCTATCCTCCACTATCTCCTGAATTCAGTCCAAGCTGCCTCGCATATGGTAGGTGCTTAATAAATGCTTGTCCACTGGCTTACCAGTTCCATTTATGGAAAATCACTCATAAACCGAACAGGTTATTTCATTTACTTACTCTGAAATATTTCTCAAATCTCTCCCCAACCCTCCTCTCTATTCTCACTGCCTCTACCCTAATATGGAATCTTATTACCACTGCCATGGATCATTTTAATAGTCTTTACAGTCCTTGACTCTTTGTCTACTCTTTTCAATTCATCTTTCATATTGTTACCAGATTAAAATTTGTTATGCCTAGATCTGGTTGTGTCATGCCTTGGCTGAAAAATCTTCTGTGGCTGCCTATTGCCTCCTAAATGAATGGATGGATGGATGGATGAACAAATGAATGAATAAACAAGCATATGAATGAATGAATGAATATATGAATAAATAAATAGACAGATGATACTTATTGGTTGGTCCAAAATATAAATGTCCCAGAATATAGGCATTATTGCTGAAAATGGATCCCGAATGAAGCAATAAATATAGGCTTTTCCATTCAGTCACCAAATAAAACCAATTATATCTGAAATGACATTGGCCATTAGGCTATGGATAGATCATAAAAACCACTTCAAAAGATCTTGCCCTGTTGGTATGTAATCCCTGAATGAGAGTAGTAGGTTCTTACTGGGAGCTAGGTCTTATTTGCTTGCTCCCTGGCAGATTTTCAAAGTATTTATGGAAATAATATTTACAGTGAGACTCTTTTACCCACCACCTTGTACAGTGTGAAATTTCTGATATGTTTTTTCTTGCTTGGTACAAACTTCCTATGAAGAAGCCCAACTCCAACCATGGTGTCTCTCAATTTTAAAAGAAAAGATAAAAAGATAAAATTAGGAAAATTTCTCTGATTTTTAGTTGAAATAATCTTATTGTTATCTTTCTCAGATAAAAAGCCAGACCAAGGAGAAATCAAGTTATCTCCACAGACCATGATGTCAGCCTGTTTACATTCTTTCAATACTTCTTTGCTCACCCTCATTCTCAAAAATCCTATAGAAGTCTGGGTTTCATGTGGGGAACCATTTATACCTCTGGATGGTAAGAGAGAGGGAAAAAAGGGAATCAATTCCCAGTTTACTTTATGGAAAATCAATTAAATGTGTGTCCATGTCAACCTAGTGCCACATTTATGCAAAGGATGAATAGTTGGGTCTATCAATTCATATGTGCAAGAGGATGGATGGCTTCATATCCCAGATGTGCCTTTTTTTCTTACAGGAATAGAATGTTTCATCTGGGAAAATGTCTAATTTAGGTGATAAAGAGATTCTCGATGTACAAGGCTGCAAATAATGGTATACATTACAAAATAACAAATGAGTTTAATTCACCACAAGGAAGACCTGTCTGCACATCTTCATTTTTAAGAATTACCCCCTTTAGGCAATAGGTGGGTGTTTAAAAAACAAATGATTCCAAACCAGGCTTCCATCACCACTGAGTAGATTTGGGGAGCAGGAGATGAAAGATGGCCCTTGCATATGCTAAATCCTTATAATAAAGCAGTGGCTCTATTTTTTCCCCTCTTTGATTCTGCGTGGACATGCTTTAAGCTCTGTCATCTTTCAAAGGTGTTTCTTTTGATGACCCTCACCTTTTAATTACTTGTCTCTAATTGGATCTATCTCATGGACTTCCAGGGGCATTACATATTATCGGCTTGTGTGATAAATTGCTGTTGATAAGAGAATTCAAGATAAAGACCCTGGGTTTCTATGATTACAGCTTTGCAAAGATCAGAAAAACTTGAGAGAAAGAATTGGCTAAAGAAGGACAGAATTTTGGCTGATCTGGAATTCATGAAACACAAAATGAGACAGTTAAAAGGTTGGTATGGAAAAAAAAAACAGTATGTTCTGTTTAATTCAGAATATGACCTCAATTTACGGATAGATGTTTTACTCTAGATAGGTATTTAGCTAATGAACTATAGACAAAACACAGTTATGAAAGCAGTATAAATCTCACGGCTAATGCCACATTTCTTGACTATCGATTTTATTTTAATAGTCACATAGCAGACACCCTGCCCGTGTTACAAACTCAACCTGTCCCAAACTAAATTCAGCATCTTCCTCTTCTCCCTCCCACTTTTCTTCCCCCTGCCTCTTGAAATCTGCCCCTCTTCTTGACTTTCCTAGATTTGTCAATGGCTACACCAAAGAGCTAGCAAGTGATGTTGAAGAGCGCATTGGTTCCAGAGCCAAAGAACCTGGGTCCAAATAGGGCCTCTGATGCTATTCTCTCTAAGACCTTGGGCAGATGACTTGAACTCCCTGCGTCCCTGTTTCCTAATCTGTAAAATGAGGTATATGGATTAAATGACCTCGGAAGTTCTTTCTCCCTCAAGTTCTATGATCATCTCTTTCCCTGCCGATGAGCTTTCAAATCTGACAATCACTACTGACTATTTTCTTTACACTGTGACTCCATAGCCAGAGTTCTCTCCACTGACCACACTGAATCCCCAAAAAGGGATTCCTTCTCCTTTGAAACTCACTTAGCTCTTTGACCTTTCCTTTGTATTCATGATATTCTAACTTAAAGCTCTTTCAATGCATGACTCATCCCTCTGGTCATTGAGGGCAAGGCATATGACATTTTTTCATGATTGCGTCTCTGGGTTCTCATGCATGGTTTCCACAGTTAAGGGTTGGGGCCTGTATCTTCATCAAAGTAAGGAGCACCTTTGGAGCGACCTCCTTCTATCAGGGCAGATCATCACCTGCTTGATATCTTGACAGTCTCAGAGTTTCCAGGAGGCTTGGGAAATGAAGTGATTTGTTCAGGGTTATACAATCATTATATGTCAGAGGCCAGGCTTGAACCCTAGTCTTTCTAACTGGGAGGCCAACCCTCTACCCACTCTGCCATCGTACATATCCGTTGACTTTACTCTAGCAATTGTTTTCTTTGAGAGGCAGCATGGCATGAAGAGCTAGCTTTAAAGTTAGGAAGACCTTGGTTCAAGTCCTGACTGATCCCATATTGGCTGTGTGACATTGGACAAGCCACAATCTCTCAGTGTTCTAGGCACCTCTCTAAAAATTGCGGAGAAGGTGGTAACCTGCATTAGTAGAAAGAATTTCCTCATCTGGAATTTCCCTTGATATTGAATGAAATCACAGGTCCAATTCTTTATTATTTACTTTGGGGGAAAGTGGTATTCCATGCCCCACCTTAATGAATACTATTATATCACTGTACTGATTACATTATATTAATTGAAATGGGACTATGGAATCTCTTCCTTATATCTTATATGCCATTTGGGGGAGGGAATACAGTTTAAGACACATGGCCTTCCTAAAATTAATCCCTGAGCTTAATTTTCATTGTCTTAGAGACTGGCGCTAGAGTTGGTGGTTGTACTTAGATATCCCTAGGGAGATTTCCTGAAAGTGAAGGAAGTGCTCCCTCAAAGTGATATTGTCAGAGAATTAGAACCAGAAGAGACCGTAGAAAAATCTCATTGCCACAGTTTGGTCCGGACAGGTTAAGTAAGTGATTTGGCCAAGAGCACAGAAGATTTGAAACTAGATTTTCTGTTTATAGTCCTCCCTATTATGACTCTGGTAAACTTTCTACCAGACTATACCCTAAACTTTAAATGTTCTCCAAATTCTACCCCTGTATACTCTGAAGCATACCCACATTGATCTATTTTGATAAATCTATAAACCACTGTACTGCCAAAAATATAAACCATGTTCACACTTTATACCTTCCCGTTTTCCAACAAAATCCATCACCCTCACTCCCTGATCCATACACCCATCCCTGTATATACAATTGTTGTTATTGTTGTGTTGTTGAGTCACTTTTTAGTCATGTTTGACCCTTTGTGACCCCTTTCTGAGGTTTTCTTGGCAAAGATACTGGTCCAGTTGACTATTCCCTAAATACTCTTGTCCCTTCTTATTCTCTATCTTTCTATCCCTTTAATATACCATGGTTTGTCCCTCTACCGTTTCATACACAAATATAAATGCTGACATATAGACATATTTATATATTATATGAAAATACATGAATATTCATATGTACATATACAAAAGGGTAGCTACCATAACAATAATTTATAAGCACATGCAAACACACATCTTTATATACCCAAAAAGTTGGTTCATACTTGATGCATATGCGCTTGAGAGAAAGATCCACATTTCTTGACTCCTAGTTCAGCATATAATAAAATGAGAGCTGGGTATAAGATAGGGGATTGATTGTTGGCTGAAAGTGGTTGTGAATGAAATGGAATGAGTAAAATGCCACCAGATAACTGGTGTTTACTCTTTTATATGCTGATGTTATAGTTGGGGTAGGGATGGGGGTGCTTAATGGCATTTAAAAATCAACCATACTACCAATGGTCATCTTCTTAGTTATTCAGTCCACATTGACCTGCTTCCCGAACTGAGGATTGCATTTCCCCTCTCCATGTATTTGCACAGGTTATCCTGCACCTTTCTCAGCACTATCTCTTAGAAGGTCTATCTTTCTTCAAAGTTCCGAAGGTTGTACATACCATGGTTGGACTGCATAGAACCTGAGAACCAAACTAAGCTTGGAGAGGCTCATCACCTAATTGGTCATGGGGTGATGAATTCTTTCATCCACATTAACTTCTTTTTAAGATTTTTATTTATTTTATAATAATTTATAGGAAGTCTTTATTGATTCCCAAATCACTAGTGCTTTTTTCTTTCCCAAATTGCCTGGTATTGACTTACCCATATAACTATTGTATTCTCTGTGTAAAATATAAGGTACTTGAAAGCTTAGTACAGTGTCTGGCACATAGTAGGTACTTAATAAATCTTTTTTTGATTGATTGGAAGCAGCAAATGTTTTTCATTTTGTGTGTATCCCCAGCCCATAACACAGCAACTTCAACAAAGTAGGGACTTAAATTATATTGAATCAAGGCCACAAAACAGACATATATGAGTATGAGAGATGGCTCCGTAAGAAAAATAGAATTAATGTATTCCATAATCATTTGAGCAATTTTCATAGCCTTCCCTATTGGCAATCTGATGATCAGATATTATAGATCTTTGGGAAAACTTTTCCCCCAAATGGAGCCTCTTTGTGCAGTCTATGGCAGGGGTGAGCCCCACTTTTGTCTTCTATCCATGAGATTCTGATAGCCGAGTGTGAGTTCAAGTGCGACAATTTCCAAAGGACAAGTTGGCAAAGACAGATAATGCTTACAGGTTCCTGAGTGCACATGTCCTGTGTGTGGCCTTCAACCACTTAAATAATCCACTTTTGTTGTCATTAACTATATATCTTTAGAGTGATGTGCTGTATAAGTAGCTAAAGTGCATCATAAATAAAATGGCATTATGTTAAAAAGATGCTAGTAACAATTTGCTTGCTATAAATTAATAAATGCTCATTTGTGATTAGTTGGGTAAAAGAACATGTTTAATATGAAACAGATGTATATATCATACATATGCATATATATGTATATATATGTGTGTATATACCTTTTACCAATAGCATTGCTTCTATAGCTCATTGGCTGATTGAATCAATTATATTTTTCTTACTAGATCTATCAATTATATATGCATGCTTACTGTACACATGATGATCTCATTTTCCTAAAAAAATCGCCATAGATCCTAAGTGTTATGGATTTATGAGCTAGAAGGAATGCCAGAGACCACTGAGTCTAATGCCCTTAGGAACCAGGCCCTTGTTCTTTCCAATACCTTGCACTGCTCTCTCTCAGTTGGTATCACTTCAGTTTCTGATGGGTCCTAATTATTTGAGTTATATAATAATGTATGACTTTAAATGCTTCATGCAGTATGCGAGAACCCTTGCATATTGTAGTGGCCAGACCCTCAGGAAATCAAAGAAATGTCCTTGAGAAGAGGGAGGCATGAATGAAGGGGAAAAAATAGTATTAAGTCCCTACAACACGCCAGGCAGCAGCTGGTGACATGAATACAAAAGGCAGGCCATTCTTACCCTCATGTAGATCATATTCTCATAGAAAGAGACTGAACATGTGGAGGAGTGGCGGTCAAAGGAAAGAATTTTTGGAAAGAGGTTATGGGGATGATATGGTAGAGACATCCTTGGATCATTTTACACCCTCTCCAGAAGCAATGGGAGTGCTGTTTTTATTACTGTTCCCTGAGAAAGAAGTGTGTGTGTGTGTGTGTGTGTGTGTGTGTGTGTGATGTTGGCTATTCTCTAGTGGGTGCTGGCATGGAAGGATGCATGGACAGATGGATGGATTTTAATGCATGCTCTGGGGCCATCTAGAGAGAATGGGTTAAGTCAACATGTACTTCCTCATTCACTCACAAATGAGGACAACCCAGACCCAGAGAAGAATTCTAAAACTTATTGGAATAGCTCCTTTACAGATCGCATAGTCCTTATTTTAAATTAGCAGGCTAATCTCACCCCAGTGGGAATGCAAGAAAGTCTGCCTAACCACCCTGCTCACCACCTTCTACTCCAAAATATTTTCAGTTATAATTCTCTTGTTTTGAGAGTCATGAAAAGCCAGCTTTGGAATCAGGATGACCTAGGTTCAAATCCTGCCTCTGAAGCATCCTTTTTGTGTGACCCTGGGTAAATCACTTAACCTCTTAGTGCCCCAGAAAACTCTCCGGGACCATATGTTACAGAGATGTTATTCATCTGCTTTAGTGGAGGAAGTTGCTATACTAGAAATTGTCTACATTAGTGAAATCACTGGGTTGGATCTAAACAAATAAATAAACACATTATAGCCTAGTTCAAAGATTCTCAACCTGGGATTTCATGGATATATTTCAGGGGGTCCATGAACTTGGATGGGAAGAAAATTGCATCTTTATTTTCACTAACCTCTAGCTGAATATTTCCATTTCTATTAATTATGAAAATTGGCAACAAACCTTATTCTGAGAAAGGTACTGTAGGCCAAAGGGATTCATGCCAAAATAAGGTTACAAACCCCTGGGATAGTGGATAAAGGCTTGGATTTGGAGTCAGAAAGTCTTGGGTTCAAATCTAATCTTTGACACTAGCTTTGTGACCATGCATACATCACTTAGCCTCTCCTAATCTCAATTTCTTCGTCTGTAAAAAGAGATCAGTAATCCCTGTATTACTACCTCACAGCAATATCAGGCGTTAGCAGCAGCAGCAGCAGCAGCAGCATCATCATATAATAACTAGCCTAGATATAGTACTTTAAGGTTTGCAAAGTGCCTTACAAATATTACCTCATTTTATTCCCCCACCAACCTGGAAAGTAGGTGCTATTATCCTCATTTTACAGAGGAGGAAACTGAGGCACAGAGGGCCTAAGTGACTTGCCCAGGGTCACACAGCTAGTAAGAGTCTGAGGCTGTATTTGAACTCAAGGCTTCCTGAGATAATACACATAAAATGCCTTGCAAATGCTATATAAATGGGAGTTACTATTATTATTATTATTATTGACCATCTCTAAGAGACTTTACACATCAGGTCTATTTCATTAACAGTAACCCTAGACAAGTGGGAATAAACTTTGCCTTAGGATTTACACAAAAGTCTCAGAAACCTTATTTCTTTGATTGAATACCTTTTTGAAGGAACAAAGCAAACTCCTGCAGATGTTTGTAAAATGGCGAAAGAAGACATTTTAATATGCACATGTAATATTTTATTTATCTCTTCTTATACTCCTTTGTTGTATGTGGCCCATTTTTTTTAAAAAAAATGCAAAAATGGCCATGTCTTAAATCCTGGATAAACTATTTCTTAGTATCCAATATCACAGGCCGTTCTATCTTCCCAGTTTCTTTGAGAACAAAGGGTACAGAAAGGTGTCAGGAGCTAATCATGCTCCCAGGGTGTGATTAAATGGAAGCAAAAGACTCCTATCTCTTGAGTTAATATTATTTTAGAAATGCTTAATCCCCAGGCCACGAAGCTAATTGTGGGGAAAGGCTTATTATCATAGAAGAACAAAACATATGTTCCCGGTCTAATGGAGGTGATGGTGACAAGATAGGTCACCAGTGAATTCTTTCTGAGTAAATCACAGTGGAACTGGGCCATGGGTATTAGGCTCAAGAAAGGCACGGTGTTATTGCCCTGGCTAGTTAGCAGAAGAGATCTATTTATGGCTATCTGAAAGGCCTGAGCTGCAACCTCACCTTCAAGGCTCTCACAAACGTTCCAGCTTCATCTCCCCTTCTAGTGATGTATGCTCCCCCTAAACTGGGCTAACTGCCATGGCTTCAACAAATACTACACTTTTCCCGCCTCCACCCCTTTGGCCTTTTAGGGCCCCTCCACTATAAATCTTTTCATGGTATGTTCTATAAGAAAGGAACAAAAACCAACTTGTTGATGGGGAAGGAGCCCAGAGATAACTCTCTCCTATCCCAACCTCATGTTTGTCTGAATGAATGAACAAATGAATGAATGAAAAAAATCACCCATTAAGCACTTACCATATGCAAAACACTGCAATATGTACTGAAGATAGATGTAGAAAAGGAGCACAGTGTGTAGCACACAGTAAGTGCTTAGTAGATGCCCTACCTGACCTAATGCAGTCCATGCTCTTGAGAAACTCACATCCAAATCACAAGGACAATTCTACCCAGTTCAATTTTAGCCCAGTCCAAAAGCCACTGCCTCCAAGGAGCACAGAATCTTCTTGGTTTGAGCTTTTGTATGCCCACGATGAATGAATCAGTGAGCAAACTGTAGAAGCCAGCGGTCCCTCATGCCACCCCCAAACAATCCTGTTTCTCCTACTGTCTTGGAAAGGCAACTTTGCATAGTGGTGAGAGTATTGGATTTGGAGTCAGAAAAATACTTTTTAGTTTCAAATACTTCCTCCAGCTCTTACTAACAGGGTGGCTAGGGACAAATCACATCACTTATTTGAGCCTTTGGCAGTGCTTCGACTATGTACACATTATAGATGGGATCCAGTCTATCTTGTAATTCCCATACTGACACAAATCCCAGATCCTTCATGTATAACCATCTTCACTATGACCAGGGGCCATCATGGATATGGTGCTCACCTTGGAGTCAGGAACACCTAATTTTGACACCTATGATCTGTGTCACTCTGGACAAGTCACTTCTCCATCCCTCAGCTTCAGTTTCCTATTATAGAATTATAACTAAACTATATATGTATACTATATTATATATATTCTCTATATGGTAATATACTATATAGGCTATATAATAATATACCATGTAGTATATATGATCATAAATGTGCTAATAATAGCACCTCCCAGGGTTGTCATGAGGATCAAATGAAACCATATTTATAATGCACTTTTTAAACCTTAAACCTTCTAGAAATGTTAGAGGTTATTATTTAGCGGGAGGTATAAGCAAAGCACAAATAAAAAGTCTGATTCACGTAAAATCGAAAAGCCTGTACTTACTTGAAAACTTAGAATTTCTGAATTCTCCTTCTAGGGCGACGAGTCTTTAAGAGTAAACTTGGAAAAGTGATTTACACCAATAGCCCTGCTAGGCACACGGTAGTCAAAGGTAACTGGATGGAGCCCACTCAAGAGGAGAGGAAGTTACTGAAGCACATAGTAAGTGCTGAGGTATGTCAGAACTCAGCCATGACTCCTGCTTCTCTACCAACATCTAAAACAAGGTTGAATTGAAATGCATCTTTGAACTACCTCCACGTCTGGTCAGTTAAGAGTGGTTATAAAGTTGGCATTTGAAGCATACCTAAATGGATGGACAACTTCAATTGAAGTGTGTTTTGTTTGAATGGGGAACGCGAATTATGACCTTAGCAAAGACGAGAAAAAGGCCCAGTGGATATGTACATAGGCAATTACACTGAGTACCCGAAAGATGAGTCTTTTGGCTTCATTGCTCATCACTCCTAAGGGTCTGTCTCAATATGTGAAAAGAGCAAAGAGTGAAAAACTAATTGCAATGGAGACATTCAGAAGTGTGAAATTCAGAAAGTGGTTTCAATCCATATGGTTAATCAGTCAGGATTGCTGTTCATAAAAGAGGAGGGAAGAGAAAGGTCAGCTCTAGTGAGATGATTGGTGATGGGGACCTGTGAAAAAATGCCACATTTCCTCCCCTCCCCCATTCTTTGGAGACGTTTCCAACCAAATGTGCTGTCCCTACGTTGGAAGATTTCTCAAAGTTCTCGAAGATTTCTCAAAGGTACAGAGAAGTACAAGTCAAGGTTCTTGGGGAAATATGACATATCAGAAATAGGATTTCTCACAAGACCAAGGAGGCTGAAATACTGGCCAGAAGATGAGTGCACATTAGTGAATTGTTGTGAGCTTAAAGATGAATTGGAGCTCTGCCTGAGAGCAATCCAGAAATGTGTGTATATGTGTAGCTTAAGCAAGTGAGGACCCAGATTCTGAATCACAAAGCTTCCTTAAGAGGCTTTTCAGATAACAGAAATACTGTTGTGATTCTATTTAAAATACACATGGACTCACACACATATGTCCACACAAAACTGCACATAAACATATGCAGAAACCACATAGAAATCACTTATTCATATGTTTAATATGAATGTATATGTAGAGCCTATATCAGATTGCACACCATCTTGGGGAGGAGAGGTAGAGGGACAAAATTTAGAACTCACTATGGAAGTGAATGTTGAAAACTAAAAATAAATTAATTAATAAAAAAAGAAATCATCTATTCAAAGGGTTGAGTACTTACTGTTTAGAAAACTATCTCTCCTTCATGCCTTCCGTGCTTCCTCTTAATGTAATAGATGGGCACTTGTGTATGAATTAATAGTAGGAGATGGCCTAGAACTGGGAGATACGTACAGTAGTCTGTCCATGTCTCTGTGACTCTCTCTCTCTCTCCCTCTGCTCCCCCTCATATATATGTATATAGACACACATACGCATATATTTATGTAGCTGCACATACTGAATAATGTGCTGAGTCTAGTGTTGGAAAGAGCTGGATTCCAATCCTGCCTTGTACACTTATTAGCTGTGTGATCCCAGACAAGTCACTTAATCTCTGTCTGTCTCAGTTTCTTATCTCTGAAATGGGAGTGATAATAGTACCTACTTCCCACGGTAGTTAAATAAGATAATATTCATAAAGGGTTTTAAAGACTTTGAAGTGTTCTAAAATGCTAGCTATGATTATTAGTACTATTGCTTGGGAAGTTATTTTTTGCCCCAGGTTGTTTCATCTGATTAGGTTTGGTTCCTATATTGTTGATGATAAAGTAAATACATGTCAGTTGTTCTCTTTATTTGTTTTCTAACATCCCCACTCGCTTTCTTGATTCTTCACAGAATCCTCAATCTTCCCTAAGCTAAGGTCACTAATGTGGCGGTCCCTCATGCTCTTCTCTCACCAGGCACACCTTTCTGAGGTCCGGAGCCAGCAGACCAAACGCCATTCTCCAGGGTCAATAAAACAGTCCAACCTGTACATTCAGCCCAACACAAAAAGAGTCTTCGCCTACCTCAATGGTCGTGAACATGAAGATGTCGTTTATGCCTGGGGCAGATCCATTGCAGAGGTAAAATTCTGGGAGAGGCCATCAACTCAGAGGATGTCTGGTGCTCAGGAAGAATTCTGAATCTCGGGGAACACAGTCATGCATTGCCTTGAGTCTTTTAATTTTCCCTGATAATACACAAATGAGGAATGATGCTAGGTGCCAAAAAAGAACGAGGATGCAGGTGCCCAACTACATACTCTATATGTATTCATATACTGCATAGTGCATTTATTAATATACCATGTAGCATATATAATAATAAATATGCTATATATAGTAATATACTATACAATATATAATTTACTAAATAGTAATATATATATACAATATATAATAATATCTAGAATGATAATGCTATATTTAGTATATATAATAATATACTATTTAGCATATATATTTGTTGTTATTTGGTTGTTTTCAGTTGTGTCTGAATCTTCCTGACCCCATTTGGGGTTTGCTTGACAAAGATACTAGAGTAGTTTTCCGTTTCCTTCTTCAGCTCATTTTACAGGAGAGGAAATTGAGGCAAACAGGGTGAAGTGACTTGCTCAGGGTCACATAGTAAATATCTGAGGCCATATTTAAACTCAAGTCCTCCTGATTCTAGGCCTGGCACTTTATCCACTGAGCCACCTAGCTGCTGTGTGTGTGTATACAAAATACATACACATATATGTGTATGTATTACTCTATGTATATATTTAGAAATTTGTGTGTTATCTCCTCCATTAGAATGTAAAGTCCTTGAAGGCAGGTACCATTTCACTTTTGTATCCCCACTGCTTTGTGTGGTGGCTGATACCTAGGAGGTGCGTAATAAATGCTAGTTGATTGATTGCTAATATACTTTGTAAATTGCAACATGGTATATAAAATTCTATTCTTGGGTCCAAAAAATCCTCTTCACTGGATAGAGTGAAGACATAGTGAGACAATAGTATGTGTTTAACAAAATCAGACTTTTAGTGAACTGCAAAGTCAAAATGAGTCAACAGTTCAATATGGCAGCCATAAAAGCTAGCGCTCCACTGCATTGAGAAAGATAATTTCCCCAGGATGAGGGAAGTGATGATCTTGCTGTATTCTGATGAGATCACAGCAAAAGGACCATGACCAGTTCTGGGCACCGTATTACCAAACTAGAGGGTCTCCCATATGAGGTTGGTCAAGACGGTAAGAGGTCTAGAGACTAGCCCGTGCAGAAGAGTGAATTGAACTGATTATGGAGGCAAAGGACCTGGATTCAAATCCCTGCCTTATTATATCCTATTCATGTGACCTCAGGTGATTGATTTCCCCCATTCAGCGTACTGCTCCTCATCTGCGCAGTGAGGGTGTTGGACTATGTCATCTGTGAGGCTCCTATACCATGCTGCAAAAGTATTAGGTAAAGTGACTTGGACTGTTTGGCAGAGATAAGAGAAACGTTGCAGAGATATGACGGTTGCCTTCAAATACTTAAAGGTATTTTGTGTTAATAAAGTCTTTGGAGGGCAGAACTGGGGACAGTGAGTGGAAGTTACAGAAAATTCATTTTCTAATGTAACAAGATCCAAACAATCAGAGCTGTCCCAAAGCGAAATGGGTTGCTTGGGCAAGTGGGAGGTCAGAGGTGGAAGGTTTTCAAGCAAAGGCTAGATGACCACTTTTCAGGTATTTTATAGAGGGGATGCGAAGTCAGGAATGGGTTGGACTAGATGACCTTTGTTGTGCCTTTCAATTCTGAATCTTGTTGTAACTCTCAGCTGTAACTATTATTGTCATTACTTTGGTCAAGATCCTCTAGGGGGCATATAAAAAAATTATAGTCCTTAGCCTCGAAGAACATATTATAGAGTTAGTAAAATAGAGAAATACATATAAAAAGACAGGCAGCTAGGTGACGTAGTAGATTAGAGTATCGGATATAGAGTCAGGAAGACCTGAGTTCAGATCTTGGCTCAGACACTAATGAGCTGTGCTTGAAAAGCAATGAATTAACCTCAGTTATAATTATTACAGGGCAGCTATGTGGCTTAGTGGATAGAATGTTGGGCCTGGCCAGAGTCAGGAAAACCTGAGTTCAAATCTGACCTTGGACATTTACTAACTGTGTGGTGCTGGGCAAGTCATTTAACCCTGTTTGCCTCATTTTCCTCATCTGTAAAATGATCTGGAGGAAATGGCAAACTACTCCACTATCTCTGCCAAGAAAACCCCAAATTGGGTCACAAAGGATCAGTCATGAATGAAATAACTGAACAACAAAAATAATTTTTAGTAAAACCAAATGAGCGACCAACTGGTCTAGCCAGTGTTCATTGTAGAATTCCTTGGGAGGAAGAGATCACTTGTGGTTAGGATAATGGGGGAAAACAATGCAGGGGTGAGACTTGAGTTGGCCCTTGAAGGATAGATAAGATTCATGTAGACAGACCATCTATGACCAGGGAAACAGCACAGGTGCAATGACGTGTCTTTATACAGAATGTTTATACTTCAGAGAGAAGAACAGTATGGCTGGAGTGGGATGTGAATTCAAGGGACCAGACAGAGAGGAATCTACAAAGATAGTCAGGCTCATACTGGAGAGGGCTTGATTACTAGACTGAGGTCATCGCTGATGGCATTTGAATAGTTGAAAGACATAATAAAAGTGTTATTTAGGAAGATCAATATGACCAGGGTGTGTAATACAGATAATTACTGACTAATGTAAAAAGTTATCCAGGTTTCATGTACTCCTTTGAAATATTTTTTGAAGTCATCTTTGATCTCTTCAGTTTTGTCTCTAAGATATCTACTTTAGGGCCCTTTTAAGGAACTGAATGAAATTCTTAGTGATCAGTCATACTTCATGCATTAGTCCATTAAGTAAACATTTATTAAGTGCTTGCTTCAAGAAAGACATGGTGGTAGACCTTGGACATGTTTCAAGAATATTTTCCAGATTTGTGATTTCATCAGTGTTGAGAAAACATTGTGGAAATTCCCTCCCCAGCGTAGAATGATCTATCTCCAGTTTATAGTCCTAGAAGATTGCTGGGGAGAACTGAGGGATTAAGGAATTTGCCTATGACCACATAGCTAGTGCACATCAGAGGCAGGGCTGGACCCAGGTCTTCTTGACTCCAAGCCTACTGTCTATACATTATTACACTCCCTTGTCTAGATCTTTATGATACAAAGACAAGAACATAACACTACCTACCTTCAGGGAGCATATATTCTACTAAGGGATAATACTGTGCCCTCAGTTCTAGGCTGGGTTTCTAGTTTTATCATTCATGAGCCCCCACCTATGTGTCTACCATTAATAATCATCCAGTAGATTGACTTAACTTTAAGCGAAAGTATTTGCTGAGATAGTATAATACCATTTGATATAAAATATTTCTACCAAAAGCCTGGAGTGTACACTCTGACAAATATATGCAAGTCCTTGGGAAGAGTGAGTGCAGACTAAGGGAATAGGGACGTGTGTAGGATATATGTGTGGCAGACAGGTAATTGAAGTTCTTTCTTGAGTTCCTAGTTGGCATTCTTCCCTAGTACAAGGAGACATATTCCTTGAAGCTGCCTCCTTCCTTGGGTGACTGCTTTTCACTATCCATTTCTCCTTGGTGTGTCACTCTGTTCTCAGCTGAGTTTGTTGTGTGCTTTGAGATGGGAACAAAATGACATCCAAGGACAGACAGATACTAGCAGACAGGCACCTGAGGAAGGAGACAGTTGATTTTAGCTTGATGCATTTACTATCTGCTATAGATGACATGGTCAGTCTGGAGAGGAAGAGAAATAAAGTAATTTCTTTAGTAATTCTGTCTCAGGGGTTGGGCTTCAATTTTGGATCCTGAATCCTTAATTTGTGAACTTGGAGTCCTTCAAGACTAAACTGATTTACTGCTGGACTGACTCACAGTTGGACTGACTGTTCTGTGTCTACATAGCTAGAGAGGTACGTCTAATTCTTTCAGGCAATCACAAGATACTTCCTGTGTGGCATCATCTGCCTTTATACAAAAATCACAGAGCTATATAATCTCTTCAGATTAAGGACTCTTAAATGTAGGAAAAATATGCCTTCAACATCTAGTTTACTCTGTTTATTAAAGGTGTCCGGACCTTCTGTGATTACATTAATTGAGGACCTTACCCTTTTTACAAAAAGATAGGAAAGACCTACCACATGGGAGAAGTCAGTAGATAGGGAGAGTTTGAACATGGCAAGGATGAGGGGAAGTTGATCAATGGGACATATTCCTAAGGGAGATGGGAAGGGATAGGATCACAGATTGCAAGAAGAGGGGCCATCTTTTTGTCAAAGTCTAAATCAACAGGCTTCAAAGCAAGGTTGAGAAATGATATTTGTGGTGTAGCATGGAGAAGAAGATGGAACTCACAACAGATGGCCTCCATCTTCTTGTTATAATAGGAAGTAAGTTCCTCTCTTAAGACAGACAGAATGAAGGGCAGAGTATGAGGGGCTTGAGGAGGGAAGAGAAAGTTTGGAATAGCTATTGGGGGTGTGTGCAATCGAATTAATCATGGGAAAACAGAAGGATTGTCATGTAGCAGTGGGGGCCAGATGAAATTAGATCATACACATTTGTAGTGAATCTAGTTGGCTTAATCATATGAGTTCTGCCAGTGGTATTTAGCAGCTTTTGGGCAGGAATGAAGAAGTCACATGGCAGAATAAGTCACTGGGTTGAGAGTTTGTCAAAGGGTGTTGATAGGGTAAGGGGGCAATGAAGAGTGGAGTGGAGTGTAAGGCTGATCTTGCTTAACTATAGGATCAAATTTATGAAGGGAAGCAAAATGAGGTTACATGATGTACTGGAAGAACAGGAAATTGTGGAGTGGCTGGTAGTCATGGAGAGGATAAAAATAGACTTGGTAAGAGTGAGGCAAAGGGAGAGATGGAAAGATAAGAGGCTGTGGCTCGAAAGAAAAAAAGTCATAATTCAATATGTTGGAGACAGAGCAGTTATGGGTAAGGTGAGATTACCAGTATGATCAGCCCTGTGTGTAGATGA